GGCGAAAGGAGAGAAGCCTTGTTGTTGTGGACACAGGTCTAAGAATGGGCTGTTAGCTTAAGCGCTGTTAGCATGTATTTGTTCATCATGGGGAAAAAACGGCACGTTCGAAATGTCACTGCAATAATGGGGATTGTTTAGAAGTCCAATAATTCTTCAATGCCTGTTTCAGTTCAATATATGTACCTCTTTTCCCGGTCCAGTTTCCCCAGGTCCAAAATAAAAAGTGCCGTTCAAAGAGACTTGTAAATTATTTAAAGTTTAAAGACGCTGCTTATCAGATCATCAGTCATCCGTGACCATGAACTGTTTTATTTCCAATCATTAGTGTTGAAGTAAAGGCAAAGAAGGGACAAGACTGTATGTTACTTCCAGTTTATAAAAACTCCATATCCCATGAACCTTTGCGACACTGTATACTGTATTTAGCAGGACTGTGGGACAACCGATACAAATTAGCCCAAGGGTGACCCAATTAACATGCACCCAACCAAATAAACAAAAAATAAAGTGCTTCATAGTCATAAACTGTAAATTAGTATGATTATAGGACTTCAGCATTACATTGGGTATTCAGCAATAGCCAATGTTTTGTAGTTCTAGGACAAAAATCTTGCCGTTAAACCATATTTGTCTGAAACTAGACTCATCTGAAACTTGCTTTTTCACCTAAATTTTGACGGATGACCTATAAATGCATCAATAATGTTCCTATCATTTAGGCTCTGAAAACCCAGCCCTAGTCTAGTCCATACCACATAGTGTATATAAGGAGTGGACTGACAAGAGTGTTAGCTTTAATGCGGAAGAAACCGATTTGAACATAAGCTAATTCTACATTTGTTCTGGCGCCTTTAGCATTGTGCTGTAACAGGGGTAGACATTTGCTAAGGTAAACTAGCGGTTCTCCTGCGAATGAAGGCATCTGATGGCTGACATCTGGGTTAACAAAGACAATATCACAATATAAGTGCCTGCATAAGAAGTGCTAAGTTTTTTTCTAAGTTTTTCTAAGTGTGACACAAATAGTTACTGAGCTAGAAGAGTTAACTTTTCTATGTTAGTCAATAGGAGCCAGAGAGAATTGGAGCAAATCTTTGTCCATTAGCACTTCCTTGTTGGGTTTCATTGAGCTAGCAGGTTAGCATTTGAGGCTCTGATCCACTATCCATCACTTTCTAAGGCACTTTCGACTTCAGGAAATCCAGCTTCCTCTGTCTTTTCATCACTAAACAACAAAACTCTGTTAGTTTAAGCAACAGTCTTAATTATCCCTTGTTAGTGTTTTGCGTCTCATTATTTGTTTGAAGTACAAAGTAAAGTTGAGGCTACGGAGGTAAGCTGTGTAATTGGCAACAAAGATACTGTAGCTGTTTGATGAAAGGAGCGGAATGTTTGTGTAGCGTGGTAATAAGGAGGCGTACTGTTAGTGGGACACTGGGGAGTTCTGATGTTTAAAGAAGACATTCATAGATCTCAGTGCAGAACTTCAGGAAGAAGAGGAAGCAGCAATAACATGGTTTTAAATGGACTTTAATTGCGATAAACCCAACACCATCCATTACACTCATACCTACTGTACATGTTATAAGTGGTAGGGGAAACCGCAGCACCCGGAGGAAACTCACTCAGAAAGACCCTGTTCTGAGCTGGGTTCCAATTCCGGTCGGAACAGGGTCTTTCTGAGTGCAATAGGTCTGACTTGCGTCTTCTGTACTGGCAACCCCACTCTCTGTGTGGAGTGGGAGACAAATGCCCACAATTGTAAAGCGCTTTGTGACTCTGGCCATAAAACTAAACTCCCCTAGCTCAGTAATCAATTGTGTCAGACTCACAATTTTGGGATTTTAAAAAGTCCATGTGTTAACGCAATCTATGTCATTTGTAAATCCAGATATGATACAATTACCAATCGGAGGCCTTCATTCTTGTGGGAAACTCCAGCTTGCCTTACTACTCACTCGCTGTAATGAAACTCTGACAGACCTTTCCCACTGTTGACCAAGGTTGACACGGATTTAAAAACACAGGTCCGCAGTATGAGAACACCTATGTCTGTTATCTGCATAAAAGTCTAGTGTGTCCTCTCTAAGTTACTCCTGAGGACAGAGTGTGGAGAGATGTGGCAAATGAAAGAATAAAAGGCTTTGTGTGAGCAGTTCTTTATCAAATGTAGCAGACGGCTTCACAAACACCAGCTGTCTCATTCTGACTGGGCTTCGGCCTTTGACTCTGTGACTCAGGGTTTGTCTCGCGCCGTCGTCTTCACACCGGACAATACACACGCTTGGATATAACTAATTTCACACTAATAAGACCCAAGATGCAAGCTATGGATTGGCAATAATGCAATGGAATACATGTTTATACAAATATAACTATCTTGCTCTAGCTAATGATTTGGAGCTGTGTTTCTGCTGACGAAAACCAAACAAAAACCTCTCATTTCACTCAGAATTAGGTTGTATTTTGACCAAAGGATTACTGACCGGCTAGGCCCATTGTTACTAATAGCATTTTCGGTTAAAGCAGGGGTGCGTAACTTTCAACCCACAACAATAGAGCTATGCAATCTAACCCATGTCTCCAGTTCTTTGCTCTCAAAGCAGTCAGGTTACGTCTGTCATGAGTTTCAAGTATCTCTGGCCTCTGTCACATCTTTTTTTGTCTTTTCAGACAGAAAAGTGAAAACCAGAGGACCACCCTCACTCGTCCAATCAGCTCTCAGCTCAGGGTCAAACATTGTAAGCTAACAAGGCCCAAAAGATACCATGTTTTCTAATAGGATGAAGATGGCATGTTGTAGTCTGGTTTGTTCACAACATTTTACCTTAAATTTGACTTTCTCTATTATCTATGAACAAAAAAATCCTTAAATATCCCAGATTGAAATGTTTTGCATGGAATATAGTTTGTGTGTGTGCGCGCGTGCTGTGCGTTTGTTCTCTTTTTTAGTTATAAGACTGTGAATGTTTGTCCTGTAAGATTTGTTACTCCTTCTGCCTATTATATTAAAGGCCAGTAAATCAACCATATTACATCTTGGTTTTATCTTATTCCTTTTACCCTAACAAGCTCCACATGGTTTGTACCAGCCACAGTGGTTCATATTTGCCTCTTTTCCGCTAAAGACTAGCATTTGTTCACATATAACTATTGTATATGTATGTTGGCCTTTTGTAAAGACTTGAGTTAACAAAAGTAACAATTCTAATTCACCTCAGAATTGTTACCTCTTTTGTTCTTTAAAAAAAAACATTGCTCAAACATTAGTGGTGGGGGATAAAATGTACTCTGTTCAGTTATGCAATATTTTGCGTGAATGTGACATTTGAGATAAGTTTTTTGTCCTCAATGTTTGTAATGCCATTGAATAATGAGGGACATGAATCACAATATATCGCAGAATCGAATCGCAACGTGTTAATTATCTCAATATTATTGCATGATCACATTTTTGCCACCACCCACCTCTAATGTTTGCTTCTATTTCTCTCATTCCTTAATCAAAACACATATTTAATATCCAGGCGTAGGCTTAATGCTCTCAAATAAACCCACAACGTCACATTGAATCACTGATTCTCAACAATACGCATACCATACCATACCATACCATACCATAACGAAATATGATATAATTCCCTTATTACTGAGGCAGTAAAGCTTTTATGCGTGCCCATTGTTTTGATTATAAAACTGGGTGTGATTCCTAAAGCAAAGCGCAGAAGAAATCAGAAATAGCATTTTTTTTCCCCAGCACGCAGGGCCAATATCCCACAAAGCAGCGACATATTTTTGCTCTTTAAAAATAGATGAGCAATGATTGTGTGCAGCCAGGATCCACAGTGAGAGCGCATTTGTCTAAAACATCAACATAAACAGCTCTTTTAAAAGGTTTAATTTAGGAGCAGGAGCATGTTTTCGGCATTTGCGTGCAATCCCTCTCCAAGATCCATGCCTTTGCTTGCCTTCCCGACCCAGAGATTTTTCTACTGCAGTGCACAAGCCGCCATCTTAACTTCTCCAGTCTCCCCTTCCCCTTTTTCCATCGTCTGCCACAGAACAAGAGCAGATACGTGCAATCAAACACCCTCATCATTACGCATATGTGCAAGATGTTGGCCCGAAATGTACCCAAAAGCGAACGACCAGCCTTGGTGCTGTATCGGAGGATTCGGAGGTGTATAATTGCATATCCCCCATTGCTTTTAACACGCCCACTGGCTTAAAAACCTGCCCTGGGGATATGCAATCTGAGACAATATGCTATTCATTTATTTACAAGATAATTAAGCTGTAACATGTCCAAACGAGAATGCTTTGACGTGCTGTTTTAATATAGCATTTGGGGACGTGCATTTGCGAGGCGAAATTTGATTTGTTAGTGGGCAGATTCTAACGCACTAATTCAATATTAAACCACGCCAATATAATAAAGACATACACGTATAGCAGTGGCTAGTGTTGTCAAAATGATGCAAAAATGCTCAAATACGTGAATATGAACGCAATCGCTTACAAAACAATGACTGAATGTGGTTTCGTCTATCCTGACGCCGCAAAACATACAATTTAGAAGGCGAAATCACCAAACCAAGCTATTTCATGTCAGATGGTTCACGTTTGAATAGAAACAAACGCATTATTTGTAATACAACATGTTATAAACCTGTAATACTACCTTGAACAAAAATACGTAGCAAATTAACGCAATATTTCCCTCTGGCACCTTTTCAAAGTAATAGGATGTGGCTTTGAGCAGTGTTTTTAACGAAATTGTGTTTAATATCAATGTGTCAACAGCGTGTGTTTGATGTAAATTATGTATGATTTGTAAAATGTGTTTTAAATTACAGTTTTAGTTGTGTTTTTCACTTAGCAGCTTTATTTTGAAGGGGTAGCAACCGGCGCGCGCTGCTAACATTCAGCTTCTTGACACTAATGACAACTAAACACAAAAAATACGATGGAAAATAAGGGGGAATCGGTGTTATTACCTCCACAGCGAAAGCCACTGCCACAGCGGCGAGTAAAGCGATTGCCATTCGGTCCATCATCTTGATCGTGTCGTTTCGGTAGGCTCCAGAGATCCTGGTTTTCGTGGCCGGGTTCTGAGCTCTCCTGCGCGGTGTGGATGTGCGCTCTGCCTCCCGTTGTTTGATGGAGACTGCACAGCTGCTCCGAGCCTAGTCACCTGACCGAGATTACGCACATATTACACAGTCCCCTGGTTCCTCCCGAGCAGAGAGAGAGAGAGACCAGATAGAAAGAGAGAGACCAACACATGAACCAATGGCTTTTAAAAAAATATATGAAAATATGTTTTTTAAATCATTGCTTTATTGTGTTTGAACTGTTTGATTCTCTGATCTGTGTTGGCGAATCAACAAAGTTTTGTAAAGTCCTTTGAGACAACTGCTTTTGTGATTTAGGGCTATACAAAAATACATTGAATTGAATTGCGATAGACCATAGAGGAGACCATAGAGGAGACCATAGAGGAGACCATAGAGGACACTTGATCTCTCAAGAGACCACAGCAGTCTGGTTCCTCCCGAGCCTCAGTGCGAAGAAAACCATCCCTGTGGTATATTTCACATCAACGCACAAAATTATTAAAGCTGACTTTTCTTTTTCCATCACAATGATTAAAATATATCCTTTAGTTGTCCCACAGAGGGGAAAATTTCAGTGTTGCATCACAAGTTACAGACCTATGAATGAGGAGCAAGTGAATATTAAGTATAGAAAAAATCCTCCTATACAAGAAACTTACTTTATTTATACGTCTGCAGGTAAATCTATAGTACACTCTACAAGAATATTAGGGCAATGAGTCATTAGCGCCGCGGGTCTAATGAGAGAGGGAGAGACCATGGAGGAAGACCAGAGAGAGAGAGACCAGAAAGCGTGCACGACATGTGAGGGCAGGTAGGCAGTGTTCATTAGACCTTTTGTACTGTCTGACAGCAGCAGGAGGGAAAGACCTGTATCATCGCTTTCACAAATCAGGGTGGATCAGTCTGTCACTAAAGCTGCTCTCCAGAGCGGACAGTGTGTCCTGCAGGAGTCGACAGTCATAGTCCACATAGATGTTAGTTTGTCCAGGAACCTCCTGTCCCCCACCTGCTGCACTGTAGAACTCACATATACTGTATGGAAGAAATATAGTTGTATGTCTATATAAATCGGTAATACACTCATGTCAGCTCCTGTAGAATCTTCGTTCTCCGTCTCTCATTCTATGTCCAAAATACTGTCTGCCCAGATATTATTACACTGGCCGATTGCCACTGTCCCGCAACACAATATCAGACATACCTCAGTCAATGTGCATGCTGCGCGCTACGTCATTTATATGTAGCTTGTGCAGGGTGGTTTTCTTCGTTTTATACATTTTGGGATTTTTTTTTCCAGGACAGACCATGAAAAAGAATGACAATCAGGTAAAACCAGAACAGGTGGAAACACTAAGTATATAAATTGTGAATAGTACAACAACTGTTGTATAAAATCAATGTGTTATTGTACAGTATAAAATCACATCATTCTTTTCAAGGTGCAAGTCCTCTACAGTAGCCATTGGCCTCTTGTCTGTAAAATTAGTTCGAGCTGTGAGTTTGGTCTGATGGCCAAGTCTTGGTAGATTTGTAGTAGGGACATACTCTTTCCATTCCCAGATGATGGATTGATCTGTGAGATTTTCAAAAAAGTTTCTCCTGCTGCAGAGTTCCTTAAAGTCTCTCAGGGTCTTGTTCTCAGTGAGGGAAGGATGTAGCATGTGCATTGATGAAGTCACTGTATCAGACTGTTGTGGTGAAGAAGGAGCAGCGTCTGCAGTCAGAGCTCTCTATTTACTGCTCTTGTCTATCTCGCTTTGGTCTCTCTCTGGCTTTTCTTTTCATGATCTTTGGGTACTGACCGGAAGGACAAGATCACAGATACATGTGCCGGTCCACATGACTTTCCTCCACAGACTAGTGGCTGGGCGCTCACTTAGAGATAGGTTGAGGTGCTCACTCATACGGGAGGAAGTCGGAGTAGAACCTCTGCTTCTCCACGTGAAGAGGAGCCAGTTGAGGTGGCTCGGGCATCTGTTCGAGATTAGACGTCTCCCAGGAGAGAAGTTCTGGGCATGGGGTCTGGGTGTCTCTGCTCAGACTGCTAAACTGGATAGAGCCGAAGGGTGGCGACAGCGGCTCAGTTGGTAGAGCATTGGCCTTTGAGCCTGAAGGTCGTGGGTTTGAGCACACCACGAGACCTTCTCCACCGTCTCCCACTGATGACTGCTGTTGTGTCCTTGGGCAAGACACTTAACCCCACTTTGCCTGAGCCCTCACTGAGAGATGAAGGCCATGCTCACACTGTCAGACTAGCCATCCTCCTGTGGACTCACCAGCTGCAGGAAGACCAGTGAGGGGCTGGTGCTCTTTGAATTGAATAGTTAGTTATACGTTGACTAAGGTCATGTAGAATAAGGACTAATAATTGGTAAATATCAGGCACTTTAGTGCCAAATATATACTATTTAGCACCTAATCAGATGTTAATTAGTGAGGACAAAACAATAAGCCTACAGGCAACGAGTGTACTGTCAATGTCCCAATACTATTGCAAGCTTTATTATTTTTAAAGTTTGGGGAAATACACAGTGTCCCCAGTACAGCCCAGTCTGATCCCAGCGTGAAGAGGCTGAGTGAAGGTGGTCTGCTCTCTGTGGATCAGCCTCATGTCCTCCCCCACGCTGTAGAAGGACACTGCAGTGTGGTCCAGGAAAACCCCAATCCTGTAACCACCCGGACCAGTGGGCTGGGCCTGTACCGAGTCAAACCACAATCTACTGTCTGTTTGTCTGCAGACTAAGGCCCAGGATTTGTCATTCCACCCAAACTCACATTCGTCCGAGCCTTTCCTCATATGACACTGCTACTTCTGCCCAGTCCCCACTCCACTCCAGCTCAAAGTATCCACGCCCAGTCACAGTCTCTCTGCTCAGGACCTGACCCCAAACTGTGAATCTGTCTGGATGATCTGGCCACTCCTGCTCCTCACTGGCAATAGTCGCTCTTCTGTTTCCCTCAGACAGATGGAGCCATGTGTGAGCTGTGTTTTTGTCCAGGGTGAAGTCTGTAGAATACTGTAAGAAGTCCTCTCTGGTCCTGGGCTCGGGCTTTGGACTCTGGACTGGACTCTGTTGTACTGTAGCTCCAAACGCACAGGCCAGACCAGGCCTTGAGGATCCACAGCCATCTCTGCTTTCACTTTGACACAAACCCATAGTGAGGAGGAGGAGCAGGAAGAAGTCTGTAACTGCTCCTTAAAGGCACATACACAATGCTAACATAGACTGTATACAGATGGACAATGCTAACATACACTGTATACAGATGGACAATGCAGATTGTTAGGCCCAACATGGTGAGAGTGACACAAATGGTTAGTGGAGTTTACTTTTACATGTAAGTCCATAGAAGCCAGCGCATGTTGGAGCTTAACTTTGTCCATGAGCACTTCACTATTGGGCTTCAATGAGCTAGCCTTGACAATCTCTATACAGTCTATGGGGAAACTCCAGCTTCTAGCCTTTGTATGTTTCTTCTGTGGCCAGGGTGAATAGATTAGACAAATGTGCTGTCAGCTTATGCAAACCCACAACTCAGGCTTTAATAACACGCTGTGCACTGCCTTTCCGCCTATTATAATCAGGACTAATGGAAGAACAAGCAGATAAATTTAACAAACAGCTTGTATTGAGCTAGTGTGTGTTCTGCCTGGAGCTGTTTGAACAAGACAAGATGGTGGAGAGAGGAGTCCATTAACTTTTCATTCATGTGTTTATATTTAACCAGCGATAAATGGTCTGTATTGTTGGTCGCTGTTATAGTACGTATTCAAGAGGCCAACGTGGAGACAATCCCCGTTTTCAGTTCTGACTTCATTGGATTACACTGGAAAATCTGCATAAACCATAGACTGAGACAGACTTACACAAGGGAGGAGTTTACCAAAGGGGATGCATTGTAATATGACACAAACATTCAGAGAGAAAATTTGTAAGTTTTCTATACAATAATTTATTCCAAATACAGACAACACATAGTCATTTCTTACTTATTTATTCCTATACCAGCACAAGACAGATAAATATTCTTAAACAGGTAGAAGCCGCTTTGGAACATGTTACATTTTCACCGTCACATTATTTCAAGTATTTGTGTCTCCAGTTCATTCAACCACTTCTCAATACATATATTTCAAGTAAAATCTCAAAGAAAGTGACAAAGAACAGGAAACGGACTCTAGTTGGTGTTGCTCCCGAACTAAACTGACCACTCTGGTGTGATGGAGCTTTGTGATGCGTTCAAAGATTGCCTTGTAGAGCTTTGCCTCAGCTCTCTGACTTCAGAACAGTAATTATGAATAAAACTGCTTTCACGTATACACACATTTTGGCAAATGTTGAGGCTGTTGAAAAAAAATCCCAGGTCTAAAACAAAACTAATCAAGGACTGAACCAGACTTATGCCAGGTATAAATTAGAACTCTTATTTTTCTGATTGAACCAGGTCTGAGCCTGGACAAAACTAGGACTTAAAGAAGCTATACCCAATTTTTTTTTTTTTAATGAGTTCATAATAATCCGTAATTTAATTGAAAACTCGACCTCATTGATTCAGCTTGTGTATGAATTTAGGCCGTAAAAAGTGCTGAATAGAAACTTGCCCGCTCTCCTCCACTCACAGAAAGAGGAGCAAACAGGCTGCCTTTTCTAGCGTCTACAGCGCTGGTAAACACAGTAGCTAAATAATGATCAAAGAAGAAATCAAGCCCAGGTGAACATAGCTAGCTTACATCGTATCCTCTGGAGAGACAATCTATGGGAGAGACCTGCGGGAGCGGGACCGCCTCGGACCACATTCGGACCATAGACTGTAAAAAATAATGGACAGAGTCACGCCTATCTCCGCCGTGGGCCAAAAATAGTGCTCTACTGGAGCTATCCAAAATGGCCGCGAGTGGTCCCGCACACAAGAAAATAGTGAAAAAACGCATCTGCGCATCCGGCAGCCGGCGCGAGCTCCATTCATTTGAACGAGAGACTTCAAAAATTCACAGCGAGTAAACTATAGTGGTCCAAAAAAATTCACCCCCCTCAGCATTGACACACATGTGGAACGGAGCTTTGGGCCAAGAGCCAACTTTTGGTCCATCCTGTAAAGACGTTTTCGAGAGGTCTGCCAATGCTATATGTTAGCATTGGCTAATTCTTATTCCGGGTCCACCCCCATCGGCCCGGGGTGGTATTGCGAGCATGACAGCGCATGTCAATTTGGCTACTTTTGAGCTGGGACCCGCCCCCACTGATTCGAATGCGAAAGTAGAGGTAATCTTTCAGTTATATATTTTGTTAGCAGTGCGTCGCTTTTGTACCATTTCATCAGTGATTGTTGAACAGCTTACAAGAAGTTGCGTTCATGCTAATGTTTGCATATGTATCAGATTGCAAATAAAACTAGATGGCTCCGTGGGATGAGAGCGTAGGGGAAATGAGAAACCTGTGAGCGAGTTGGGGGCGGTGCTAAACATTCAAACCTTGCAGAAATGGGTATAGCTCCTTTAACTAGGACTCCCCTTGGCATAACTATGACCAATAAGATTTGCTGAGGAGAAAACAAATGACGAGGGTCATCAAGGATTTGAAATTATTTCAACCAATCAGGAAGCTGCTGGGGGAAGCATGGGCGGGGCTAACCAGTCCTTGACTTCAAAAAGTTTCACTCTTGTCACGATCAAAGAGAGAGAGGCCAATATGTGTCCAAATACATACATTTCTAACATCAGCATGGCTTTTCCCTGCACTCCTAGGTGCATCTGCTCACCTTGTCTCAGTAGTAGTCAATCTAGTTTCTCCATACAGACCTTAGGTTCACATGAGTCCTGGTTATTGGTCCGTATGATAGAGAGAGTCCTGGTCTGTGGTCTTAAATCCAGGGTAGGGGGGAGGGGGAGAGGTCCGAGGGGGAGGCTGTGTGGGGGTGTAGGGGGGAGGACACATCTCGTAGTCACAGGGGTAAGGAGGAGGAGGACCTGCGAAGGAAGCACATTTATGGTTATAATAGAGAATAGTTTATTATGGGCAAGAAGAACACACACAGAGTTTAGTGTATGTTTCCTTTAAAGCTGGGGTACATAACAAATGGAACTATGTGAAAAAAACATATCACTAGTTCTGGCTACAATTACTACTACTACTACCACCACCACTACCATTTCTACTGCTGCACTACAACTATTACTTCGACTGCTACTACTACTATTATTACCATTTCTACTGCTACTCACATCTTTAGATCAACTTTTTCAGACTGAAAAGATAAAGAGAGGACTGCCCTCACTCAGCCAATCCGCTCTCAGCCCAAAGAGTCAAATAGTCACTCACAGGGCTATTACTTACACAAAAGATAACATGTTTACTAATACGATGAGGACAGCCTTTTGTGATTTGATTAGTTGCAAAACTTTCAGTCAGAAAAACCAAATGTAATCTTTATGGCAGCAAACAGTTTTAATGGCGATAGGTGTGGAAGACGAGAGAGCCAGCAAGCCAGCTATTTCAGTAATACTGTCATTTACCAACAATCTAGTCAGTATACATTTGAGGCTACACTCTCTACACAGCAGTGCCCTCTGGTGGCCACTCAACCCCAATGCAACTGTCAGATTCAAGACAGTAACAGAATAGAGGCAAAACAAGCATCCTGACTCTAGAATACGTGTGTTTATGGGTGAATAACTAATAGACAAAATAAATAATGTTATAACATTATTTATCATGGTGATGATCCAGGACATTCAACAACATTGGACTTTATCAACATTTATGGACATTGGTCATCTGCCCCTTATGGACCAATGGCTCTATGTGTTTTTTTTATCATTGCATTCCCTGAGTTTGAACTGTTTGATTCTCTCATCTGTGCTGGCAAATACAACGGTTTTGTAAAGTCTTCCGAGATAACTACTGTTGTGATTTAGGGCTATACAAGAATACATTGAATTGATGTAACTTCTTAAGCTCAGTAATTGTTTGTGTCACACACTATTTTGGGCTTAAAACTCCCTGGTTGAGATCCTTTGTGATCCTGGTGTTTATATATTGATTCCGTCTTTGTATGGCTCATATCCAGATATGAGCCACATAAAGATGTATCAGATGCCTTCATTTGTTAGCAACATGTTCGACCCTGTTGCGGCACAAAGCTAACACAGTTGGAGAAAATTGTCTCCAACTACGTATCTTATGTTAAAACCTGCCTCTTATGCAGTAAGGCTAACATGATCACTTTCTTGTCAGTCCTCTCCTAATATTCGCTCTATGGCTCTACTGTTTGGCTACTTAAAAAATGTTACAATAATTAGAATCAAAAGAAACAATTTAGTGTGAATGGACAACTGTATCTGTGTTTTTTTTTTTAGAGAGAAATGTTGTTCTACTGATGATAGAATAGACATAACTGAGCATTTGGACAGAAGGATCCTCGCTGCTGCTATTATTATGTTCAGGACGCTCTTTGCTCCATGGATTGCGGAAATTAGATTGTCCAATTTCCTTTGGCCTGAAAAGGCAAATGAACGCAGTGATAAAGGCCATATAAATATAAATGTACACAGTGCTTCATAAAGCAGCCATATTCAAGTTCAAGGTTCAACTTTAAGGGAAATCTGTCTTACTCTGCTCCAGTCTTTGCTTCAGTTTTGTCTGCAAAATTTTAACACAAGAATATGCCATAATATTGACTCCTATAAACTCATTGACGTCATTTGACGTCAATTGAAAATACACAGTTTTTCACTCCTTTCCTGTCAGTCTGTGTCCCGTGTATTATATGTCTGGGGTTTGGCTGTAGATAGTGTTTCATTGAGCCAGCAGGTGGCAGCAGCGTTCTGTGGGTGTCTTGGTCAAATATTACGGTCTGAGCACTGCGCAGGAAAGACAGAGGCGATGGAGGCATCAGGAATATAGTCAGGGACAGGCCTCATTTAGAGGCAGTTTGAGCAGAGTCTCTAGAGCTGACAGGGACCATGTGGAGGGTCAGAGCAGCAGACCAACGGTGCACCCCAAAAAAGCCACAGAAAAGTGGACTAATACTATCACTGAGCCTACACCAGGAGCCAGTGACAAAGTGCGGTTATCGTCACAGTGCTTGCTGGACTAATCAGAACGACACTCTGATGTAACCACACAAACGTGCGCATAAACGCACATACATGCACGTGCAAACGCACAAAGACACACAACAGTATTCTATTGTACTTATTGTATAGGCATATAGTTTGTTCACTTTTATTTATTGTCATTTATAGTGTTTATCATTGTAATTTTGTTATTCTGTGACTTACTGTTATTGACATAAATATTGCACCACCCATTCTTTCTGGCATAGTTTTTTATGGGCTCTACTTTCAATGTGTAAATTTTGATGTTTTTGGATGGGTCCTTTTTTAAATATTCGAGCAACACTTTGTGGATGTGGGTGTGTATGCCGACAAAACTTATTATTTTGCACCAAAAACACTTTCTCATAACTTGTTGTTGCTGGTTTTTTGCATGTAAGACATGGACAATCACTTTTCTACATGGTTCGTCTGTTTTTACAAACACAAATATTTTGACAGCTTTTTGTCTAAGACTGGTGCTTTTTGTTAAACTCCCCTCTTTTTGACAAGCGATTACAGGAGAACGGAACAAGCTAGAAACAAACTTTTTTCTGCTGAAATTAGCAGGCTCTGGTTTCATACTTCTCAACATCATAGCACACAATATTCAGTGAGTCTTGAAAATCAATGAAGTCATCAAAAATGGCTGTCAGTCAATGGGTTAAAGGGCTAGTGCTGTAAATGCCAGAATGCATTAGCATGGTTTAGCACTGGCCCAAGTGCTTTGCATGGATCTATTATAATAACTGGATAGGGTATTACTAGCTCATAACTGTCCAACCCACGGGCGCAGGGGCACACTTGGTACTGGGTAGCCAGAAAAATCTAGCCAGAAAAAGTCTAGCTCCGCTCTGATCAGTTGCTCTGATTGGTTAGAACGCTGCCATGGACAGTATTATGGGAGGTCGTCCATTGCGCAGAACCTGGAGGATCAGAGTTATGACCAAATATGGGCAAGTTCCACTAATATTTCGGCGCTCATGGTGGGGCCATTTATCACTGAGCACAAGCATTGATCTTTATAGGCCGCCATCTTGGATCACTAGGACTTGGTGTAGTGTGTGTAGTTCGTCCCACCTGGGTACCCATGAGACACTGTGCTGACGTTGAAGACTCCCACTCGTCTTCCTCGTCCTCCCTTCATACACACGCACACACAAAGGAACAGAGCTGCTACTGCCCCCATGAGGAAGACCACGGCAAAGACTATACCACTGATGGCTGTACCACTGTAAGAGAGACTGCATGTTAGAGAGAGACCTGAGACCAAATAGAGAGAGACCAGAGGAAAAAAAACTCCATGTTGTTCAGCTTTAAATGTACACTGTGTAGTTTTTACTCCCATCTATGTAAGCCTCCGAGGACCATTTCTTATGTTGGACAGTGGTCCCCAACACCCGGTAATTCACCTTTAGTTTGATAAATGACCATAAATGACCAGATGACCAGTGACTATGTCACAAGGAGAGATCTGGGTCAGAACATCCTGAGACCCGTGTTGTGATTCTGTCTCGTTCTTGTTATTGTCACTGTGAAGACAGTTACGTATTGTTCACGTGTGAGTCTGTTGTGTACAAACTACAGCAATGTGCCTCTTGTTGCTTTAACTTTTTGGTGCGTGTGGTTTCCAATGTTGATACTTTGCTGCTTTGACGCCGGTTTTTGTATTATTCTTTTTCTAAAAGATTCTTGTTTGGGTAGTTCTTTTAAATAACTTGTTCTCCATGATCCCTTCTTCAAACTTGTGAGGACACAGTGAAAGCAACAATATTAGTAGCCCTTGTGAAACAAAACCACGATTCTCGCATCTTTTTTGTCCCTTATCAACCAATGTATTTAAATATGGCACATTGACTTGGAGAGTCCTGAGCTCACATTTATAATTGAAATTCTAAGTCTATGACAACAATTCAAAAATATGGTGGAGGTAAATATTTCTAGAAAGGTCACATTTGTTATTGGTTAACTTCTTAATTTGGAGGAACTTTAGAAAAGACACTGAGTGGCTTTAAGTGACTTACGAGAGCACATCTCCCACATAGGCGTAGTATGAGCAGCAGAACGGAGGAGATCCACTGCAGCAGTACTCCAGACAGCTGTCACACTGAGCCTCACTGCAGCCTGAGGACAAACACAATGCTGTTACTACTGCTGCTGCTACTATCAATCAATCAACCTTTATGATTGATTGATTGGAGCCCTTTTCCCACACAGGGTACTACAAAGTGCTTCACAGCCCATATCACATATGACAGGCATGTCAAACTCAGGCCCGTGAGCTACATCCGGCCCACAAGACCATTTGAGTGGCCCCTGAAATTATTTTTTATTATTATCAATTTAGGGACTTGCACTTGTAATGGTAACTAACATGTAATTAGAAGTTAAGTAAGGTCAAAGATGTATTTATTTACCTTTCTTCAAATACACCTTCTTGATAATTTACCAGTTGTGATTGAATCCAAACCTACTAGATAATATTATCCAAACTCATGTCACATACAGTTAATTTTTCAAAAGGAAAAACACATGTAAACAAAGAAACTTGTATACCATATTTCTGGCCCCAACCAGCTCTTATGTTTTTAAATTTGGCCCCCGACCAAAATGAGTTTGACATCTCTGACATACTACTACTGCAACTTTTTAGGGCAATTTTTCTTCTTTTTTTTTTGTTAAAACCAATTGATATATTTTTTCAACCAATCTGTATTCTGTATTGAATTATTCAGACCAAAATACTATTTGGTTTAGTGTTCAGTCTCTGCTCTAGTCTCTGCTCTTGTCTTATATTACAGATTCTTCTCTCTATAATGTCCCAGCGCTCTGAAGCCATGGAACTTGACACTAAAAACAATACTTTACACGGCTCCCAATCGATTGCAAGGTTATTATACACTTCACAAACTGAAAAGTAGGTCAACAGTATTCATAGATGTTAGCTGTTAGCTTGAGATCCTGGTTCTACACACGTTATGCATATATATATATATAAATATATCACAGTAGTCATAGCAACTTTTGTGCAATATATTTGAAAGTGATTGAGAGGAGACAAACAGTGAGTGTGTGCAGAGTGGTGCGTTCACTGTCTCTGTGACCGTGCGGAGAAAAGACATTATTAAAGATTAACTTGTTCAAACATGTGGAAGCAGCTGTGTGGACTCGGTTTTATATTACACCTTTAGTCCTGAGCCCGCATCAGAAATTACCAATAGCAATGTGGCTTTAAAAAGTCTTAAAACTGTCTCATATTTCACTAATGTTGAGATACTTTTAGTGTTAGCTTTAGCATTTTAGCTCCATGTATTAAAACTGTGAATGTCCCACTGCTTAGACTCGGTGGGTGGTCCTGGTTCAGTCTATGCTCCAGTCTCTGCTCTTGTCTCTCCCTCAGTCTCAGATTCACTTCATAAAAATGGAAAACAATTGTAGAAGTCCCCAGTGTGGGCAAGACAAGTACATACAGTAAATAAAACAAGGTTAAAGGACAGGAATCAACTAAAACATTTTCATTGCAAGTGCAATATCATGAAGTGATTTGTTTGTGGAAAGAAGCTGTTCGCAAAGCAAGAGGTCTTGGTCTAGTCTTCAGTCTTCTTGTCTCTTCACACACATAACCTCATGTCTCTACCACCACTCCCCCACTTAAACACAAATACCCCCAAATCAGATCTGCCCTGCTCCTTTGGCTTCAGGCAGCAGCTCATTTAGGCTATAATATCAAGTAGAGCATGAATTTTAAGTTCAGAGAGAGAGACAAAAGAGTCCAAAGAGAAGAGACCAGAGAGAGAAAGATTTGAGATTGAGATAAGAGAGAGAGACCTGAGTAAAAGACCTGAGGCCCTGTTTATACGGAGACGCTGCGACAGTAAAACGTTAGAGTTGGGTATCGGTTTGGCCTCCTGTTTCAGGTGAAAACGAAAGCGTTGAGAAACAGCCTCCAGAGTGGAATAGATCAGATAAGCTGCTCAGCGAGGGCTGTTTCACACAGGCTTGAAGAAAAAATTGTGAATTCTCTGCTGCTATGACCCCCACTCCCTCGCACGTACATTTGGACATGCGCAGGGGCTGATAACAAACCTACAGTGGTCGAACTAATACTACGTGTGCTTCGAGCGCTACACGACGGAGAATTCTGCGTCTTTGTTCGTCCAAACTGCTGTTAAATGCTAAATGATGTTGGTGCATTCTTCCTGATTCTTCCACATCTTTGCGGTGGCCCAAGGAGGATGCTGTTGAGGAAGTGAATATATTGCTGGGAGTCGCATGTGTCTTGTTGTAAAGTTCCACTGCCCACTACTGGCTCTAGAACTACATTGTTTTCAGGCGTCGTCTAAACGATGCGCAGGAGCATGATCGTTTTGGTTTATTGCTTTGCAATGTCTCTGCAGCGTCTCCGTCTAAACGGGGCCTGAGAGAGACGTGAGAGACCTGAGAGCGAGAGACCAGAGAGAGACCAAAGATGTCATTGTTCTATTTGAAATCCCACTCAAAGTAGTTTTCAATCTTTAAAACAACAGTATTGCACATACATTTGTCAAGTAACTACATTTTAGCTAGTAACTCCTCCCTCTAGTGGAAGCATTGGGAGTTACAGTCAGAAAGCATTTTTACTTGGTCTCTCTCTAACATGCAGTCTCTTACATGCTTGTTGTCTCAACATGTAAATATCACTGAAGATAAAGCATAATCTCATCCATCTCCTTCCTTTACGTCGCTAAAATCAATCCATTCATTTTAAAACGGACGTTATTGACACATATAGACAATCAAACATGTTTAAAAGTTTCTTTAAAAGTCAATGTAAGGTTTTTCCTCACGTGATAAAGCGCATAGAAGCAGCGACCTCTTCAGCAGCGCACCCCAGTCCATGGCTCCTGTGTCTGCCCGCTCTGCCCTCACCTCCTCCGGGTTGTGGCTCACCAGGGTCCCGTTGGCTCCACACGGTCCTCAGAGCTCCTCTCGGTCATCACATTGTATCAGGAAACCCAAACGCCGCTAATACGAAAAGTTCTATCCAAAACTGGCTTTACACCTGAAGTGACCAAATTTGGTTTTACGCGGGGAGTACTTATTGTATCTTTTGGTAAAGTGGGGTCCAGGGTTAAAAGAGGGAGAGAAAGGCCCTAAAGGTTTAAAGTGCGTTAGTCCCACGTGGGGAGAGGTCTGTGCTGGTTCGTATGGATCTGGTCTTCTCACCTCCACACGCGCTGGTTTTGTCTGCACCCATCCTCACCCCTCCCCCGCCTGTTGTCGCGACTCAAATTACAGCGCAACAGAGAGAAGGTGCCAAAGTAAAACTGCTTTCAAAATAAAAATGTGGCATTGTGTTTTGGTGAAGTAACTTTCAATCCCTTAAATAATGCATGTTTTGTTCCAACAGACAAAGTTTTGGAAAAGAAAGAGTTTCTAGAGACCAGGGAGACCGAAGAGAGACAACGGAGAGAGACCAGAATCATACAGATGCCCCGATATACTTCAAAATAAAGAAAGATCATAGATGTCTAAATGCTAAATAATATATTTTAGAAGATTTTGGTTCAGAAAAAAGGGCACATAATTAAAGAGCCAGACAATGTACTGCATTGAGATTATAGATATATAATATAGTTTATAGTTTATCACGATTTGCCATCACTTTCACTCCTATGCCCAAGATGCTGCTTCTACTGAACAGTAACGTGGCCATCTAGTGGTTAAGAGCAGAACTACAGGGACATCTCAGACGCAAGGATACACTATCAACACATGTGGCAGTTATATTATTGTCAAGTGTATTAAAGTAATGTACTTTCGAAGTATTGATACTGTTTTCCGTCTGAGATAGTTATGTAATACTAGATTCTTTATACTCTCTTGTTGGTGTTTTAGAAGCAGTAGTAACAGCTGTGGTATAGTAATAGTGGCAGTAGTAGTAGCAGCAGTAGTTGTAGTACTAATAGTCGCAGTAGCAGTAATGGTAGAAGCAGTAGTAGTAGGAAAAGTAGTACTTGATAAATAGACATTAAGACACAGTTTGCAGAACACATGTTTTATTCAGACTCTAGAATCATATATTTTTGACACTTGTATAAATACTTTCTGTTTTAACAATAATTCTACTTCCGTCGCAACAAAAAAAAACTATAAAATATTATTTAAAGCCACAGAGTACATAGCATTTGTACAAAAATAAATAACGTCTGGATTTTCTGTACAAAGAACCTTCGCAGAAGGCAGGACAGACTTCTGTAGGAAGTAGTAGCCGACACAGTCCAACTGTCACACGCACCCAAAAACACACTTACACACACACACACACACACCCATATACACTTACATACTTACTCACACAAATACAGACACAAACACACACATATACACTCTCACACACAAACTCATCCACACATGCACACACATACACAAACACACAAGCGCATATATATATGTCAGTATGTGTGTACATACAGATATGTACACACATACACACCCACACACAAAACACATGCACACAGGCGCAATCCCACATACACACACACCTATACCCATATACACACACAATTATACACGTATACATCATTTACACATTGACACAGAGAGACACACGCGCGCGCACACACACACACACACACACATCTTTGGTCTAAGGTAAGGGTAACAACGAGGACGTGATATGGCCAAACCAAAGTCACATATTTACCAAACTCAGCTGAAATATGTGTTTCCAATAGAAATAGAAGATCAGAATTCTGACCAACCAGGCCAAAGAGAGACCAGAGAGAGGAACCAGAGAGAGAGCGACCAGAGAGAGAAGACCATGCAGAGGGAGAGACCAGAGAGAGAAGACCATGCAGAGGGAGAGACCAGAGAGAGAAGACCATACAGAGGGAGAGACCAGAGAGAGAAGACCATGCAGAGGGAGAGACCAGAGAGAGAAGACCATGCAGAGGGAGAGACCAGAGAGAGAAGACCATACAGAGGGAGAGACCAGAGAGAGAAGACCATGCAGAGCGAGAGACCAGAGAGAGATCAGAGACAGAGAGAGAGTCAATACATAGAGCCACTATCGAATGTATCCAGCTTGTATCTGGTAAAAACGCGACTTTGAAACAACTTGAATGTGCCCCTTGAAATCTGAAGTGCTACAAATATTGTTAAATAAACGGCATACACTGTTATACATCATTTTAACCATTGTGTCCATACCTGATGGGGTAATTATTCCATTTCTCAATATAATCTGTATAAACATATGCCCCTATATGCACCTGTCCAGCCCAGCTTGGACAAAACATTAACAAAAAATGAACACAACGCAATCTCAGTCCATTCGCACAAGCACAGCATTGGCACGGGAAAGCAGAAAGCTGGTGGGGAAACAAAAAGATATCTTTCTTGTTCCAATTTCAAAATGTGCCTTTGCGATGCTACTGGCAGTCGCTAATGCTGCATGCTGATTCAGACCAAATAAAATTAAACAACAAATATGAAAAAGTCTTGGGGGAAAGAACTGGATGTAAACAAATTTCACTTTTTGATAAGAGGCAGTGGACGAGACTTGGTAGAATGTCCGTTGGATCGAATGCAGAGGCTCAAAAACTCAATAATAAAGGAAATATTTGTACAATGCATGCTTCTCAAAACAAGATTTGCCAACGTTTTAACTTTGAATGACAGGTTTTCTGATTTTGTTGTCAATGCTAGAAAGTTTTGAGTGCTTCCAATAATAAAATGAAATGAACTTAATTTTATGATTATGTGCCCAGAAATCAACAATTATAATATTATGCCGCTATATTAACTCTATTTTAAAATGATCCAACCAAATAGACGTTTGATAAAGGGTAACCTCTTGTTTGCTAAAAATGCGAATAATATATATACATATATTTATTTTTCAATTCAACTTTTTTTGTTTTGTTTTCTTTCATTTTGAAAAGAAGCACATAGATTTCTCCCAATGCACTTAAGCTAGTTTTAAATTAGCCTAGTCTGCCACTATAAAAACAGCATTACAACATTATTTTAATAGGCTTTAATTTGTGGTTTTGTTGTTTTTATCTATTAGCTTATCTGAACATTGTAAAGCGCTTTGGGTGGACCTTGGTCTGTAAAATGCGCTATATAAATAAACATGACTTAATTACTTACTTACAGATAGCCTAAGCTTGCCTACTGTATATACCCCGTGTTGAGAAACAAGGGTGTGAAGATGTTTAAATATAAGTTAATTTCATTCATTATTTAGTTTTTTACCAATAGTTTCTGCGTCAATCAGCAGATGCGTCATATTTGGTGCCAGAAGGCGTTATTTTTGCCTCATTGAATGTAGGTAATTAGGTGAATAATTCTCAGTTTTATAGCAAACGTGGCTGTGATCTCACATTGTAAAGACATTTCCAGTTGAACACTTGGACCTCCGCTCTCCCTGGCGTCTAGCAGGGCCCCTGGTTACACAGCTCCAGCAGTGGCCTGGGTCTGTCCGTGCTCTCGCAGTTCTCGCTCGCCATCTCGCGCCCGTCCGCTTCCACGCACTTTAACTGTCTCCTCCTGAAGCCGCGGCCGCAAGCCTTGGAGCAAGCCGACCACTCGCCGAGCAGCCAGGACGGACACGGCGACGTCGCACACTGCCTCACCCCCACAGGCCGCAGCTCCTCTGGGCAGTCTCTGGAGCTCTTCCCCTTCGCGTCGATGCACACCACCTCTCTCTGCTGGCTCCCGGTGCCTCCACACGTCTTCGAGCACGGCCCCCACTCGCGCAGAGTCCACTCGGCGAACCCCACCTCTCGGATGGCGTTGATGGACGGCCTGCGCTGGTTTGCGTTCGCCGCGTTGTTGTTCGGCCGTGGCGCAAAGTAGCTGTATTTAACCCTGGGGCGCGGGGATTCTCCGACGGACAGGACCTGCACCGTCAGAGCTTCAGGCAGCGGCGCAAAGCTTCGGAGGCGTTCCAAGATGGCCGCCGAGCCGCTGTATCGGAGCAGCGCACCCTTCAGAGCGATGTCGGACTCCACAGTGGTGAGTTTGTAGTCTCCGTTCAGTAAGTAGGAGCCGTCTTGTCTGCGCAGTGCGAGGTAGCTGCTGTCGGCGCCTGGCGAGCGCTGCTTTATGTCCACGTGAGTCGCACCAGCGGGGATCGTGACCACATCCTGGTATCCGGGTCTGGAGGACAGAGGAACGCAAAGTTAGTGGAGAAAATGACAGCTTCTGACTTATAAACCACATATGATGCAACAATCATAACCAGCCTGGTCTTGTGTAGCCGTAGAAGTGGTGGTTACCCGTCTTAATACAGTTCAATATTTATTGTGTGAAAGTTTGGTGCATGTTTAATCAAGTCAATATGTATAGAAAAGGAAAATTAACAAGTTGTGGGATAAATATGGAAAGAGACACTTATGTAAAATTGTCTCGAAACAAGTCATTGACAGCAGTCAAGACAGCTTTTTTATACTTATTTCGAAAACGTATTGATTCTGAATTGTGAGTCCTCCTGTCTCTCTCTGGTCTCTCTCTGGTCTCTCTCTGGTCTCTCTCTGGTCTCTCTCTGGTCTCCCTCTCTGGTCTCCCTCTCTGGTCTCTCTCTGGTCTCTCTGGTCTCTCTCTGGTCTCTCTCTGGTCTCTCTCTGGTCTCTCTCTGGTCTCCCTCTCTGGTCTCTCTCTGGTATCTCTCTGGTATCTCTCTGGTATCTCTCTGGTATCTCTCTGGCCTCTCTCTGGCCTCTCTCTCTGGTCCTTCCCTGGTGTCTCTCTCTCTGGTTCTTCTCTTGTATCTCTCTCTGGTCTTTTTCCTGTCGCTCTCTGGTCTCTCTCTGGTCCTTCCCTGGTATCTCTTTCTGGTCTCTTTCCTGACGCTCTCTGGTCGCTCACTGGTGTCTCGTCTCTCTTGTCTCGCTCTCCTGTAGCAGTAGTGGTTACCTGGCTCGCTCCAGCGCTCCAGAGATCTTTTTGCAGGTAGATCCGTCTCCTCCGCAGACTCCACATTTATCAAATCTCTTGGTGGAGCTGATGACGCGGTCACAGCCGGCTTTCACACACTGTCCCTGAACGCACACAGAGGTGGAGTCTGGGCTGCAGGGAGTACCGTCCGCCACCTGCAGGGGGAGACAACTCATATCTCAGACTTGTACACATTGACTCTCACTGATTGCAAAGACGGGAATGAAAACTTAGCCGCGAATAGGTCAGTAACATGCTAATGCTAATGAGGTAAGCTCGTTAGCCCTAGCAGGGTCATTAGACCTGCTTCCTACCACGTTGTGGCAGACCTTAGATGTGTTAATGAGTTAGCCTCAGAATCAGGGGTGTCTAACCACAACCACAGGTTATACATCTCCAACTCGCAGCTGACCTTTCATTCCCTTGAAAAAGTTCTTTGGATAAGAATGAAACGTCGGGAAAACCTGCTAACTTATGTGCAGATGTTGGGTGAGCAACCTTCCTTTGTTTTGTGACAATAGTAGTAAAAGTAATGCATTGTACTCTTATAGTGCTTTTGGACACTCAAAGATGCTTTACAAAAGGACAAAAAAGCAAAAAAGCAAAAATAAACAGTTAAGTCTAGGCAGGCGGTGGTGTTCAAACAGTGATTTGAAGTTCTGAATAAGCTGTAGTAGAAATAGAAGTAGTAGTTGTAGTAGTAGCATTAGTAATAGCAGCAATCGTAGTAGCAATAGTACTACTATAGTAGCAGTATCCCTCCTCACCTTTGACTTGAGCACAAAGAAGTACCCGGTCCCCTTGGCTCGGCACACCAGTTTGCAGCGGTCTTTGGGGGAGACACCTGCGTACTTGGGGACCCACTCCACACCCTCGCCCGACCCCAGTGACACCTGAGCTGACATGTCATTATGGACCAGGCACTGCTCCTCACGGAACGACAGACCTGCAACATACCAGAGACACCGCAACACATGGTCACAACAGGATGTCTTTATTTCATTAGAAAACGTATCGGAAAGAGTGGGACAGCCTCTTTCTAGTTTCTCTCTCTGCTCTCTCTCTGGTCCTTCCCTGGTCTCTCTGGTCTCTTTCTTTCTCTGTTCCAAGTACATTTCCTACTTAATAAATAATTTCTTTGTCTTGCACTTGATGAAATAGACTAAAACTTCCTGATACTTTCTCAGAGATGTGTCTAATCACTACAGTAGATTCACACAGAGGACTGACAGCTACAGAGTGGGCGTGTCTCTGTAGCTGCTTGGTAAATGTCTCAACACGGCGTCAAGGACTTCAAACAGCCTCAGATCTGACCGTATCATAGCAACAGAGACACAAACAATGCGAGCTGCAATTGGCGGACAGGTTTGAGGCAAAAAAATGTGCTGATCTGTAAAGTTCTAGAACAGCAGTTTCAGTTTTACTCTTTCTCTGCTCTTTCTCATGTCTCTCTGTTCTCTCTCTGTTCTCTCTCTCTAGTCTCTCCCCTATTTCTATCTAGTCTCTCTCTGATCGCTCTCCCCTAGTTAGTTCAGATGAAAGTATACAATCATCATGCAGGCGACTTCAGCTCCACCCAGTCCGATCTTAATCTTCACCAACATCTTAACCAAATCTCACCGTTGGTCTCAGGACAGGTCTCGGTGTTGCAGGAGCGGTACTGGACTCTCTTTCCTTCGCAGAATCGTCCTCCGCTCTTGGGCAGCGGAGAGTCACAGCTCCTAAAGGAATACTGGACTCCTCCCCCACAGGAGCGAGAGCAGTCTCCCCACGGCCCCCACAGACCCCAGCCTCCGTCCACTGCCACCTGAGGGACACAGGGACCATCAGAACGCAGGCAGACTTACTGAACATTGGGCTGATGGCTTTAGTAAAACAATACTAATTCTACTTTTAAATTAACCCTTGAGCCCTGATCCACCTTGGATTTATGTGTGAGAGATCACTTTTGGCTCATGATGCAGATCAAGTAATGACCATCTTGACAATTTGGCAGGAAATAAATACTTATAAATTGTAAATTGTGTATGTCACTTATAACTGATAAGTGTCATAATATTGGTCAGAAATGCTCACACCTTGTTTACACTTTGCCCATGGCTGTAGTGCAATGGCTCAATGGGGAAGCGCACATGGTTTTGCTCCCTGAGTGGGTGTTGACACATGCATGTTGTGTGCAAATCTATGTTTGCGAGCTCACTTCCATAATTGGGGTAATATTAACAGTAGCAGTAGTAAAACTTGTACCTGTTGTTTTGCTGCCTGGCTCCTGCTCACACAGTGCCCTGAGAGGCAGATGCTGTCCTGGTCACAGCTGGTGCCGTCGGCCCATGGGAAGTTCTTGGTCTGACACACCAGCAGACCATTCGACGTGGTCACTGTGCACCAGAGAGCGGAACAAGTACTGCTGAGGTCCGGACAGTGCTGAGAGTCGTCCCCAAACGTCAGTCTGAAATATATACAACATAACTATAGTTCAACATGAGCAGATATCGACCTGGTTCAGGTCTGGTTTGTCTCAACAGAAAGAGTTAAATGTTGTGCTCAAATCAGTCCACATCTTGCCTGTAAGTGAGTAGCAGTAGCAGCAGCAGTATGAGCAGTACTAGTAGTAGCAGCAGCAGCAGTATGAGCAGTACTAGTAGCAGTAGTTATAGCAGTAGTAGAAGTGGCAGTAGTTGTAGTAGCAGTACCAGTAGTGATAAAGTTGTAGCAGTAGTGGCAGCAGTTTCCATCCGTCATAGAAGCAAAAGCCAGGAACTAGTGACTTAGATTTTATTTCATAGTTCCATTCTGTTGTGGTCTGAGAGTTAGGTCCCTCAGCTTTAATGCTGTGCATACCTGCACTGGTGATCTGCGTCATACACCGTCCCGGGCAGAGTCTGGGGCAGGGTCTGAGGTCTCTGAGGCTGGTCCAGGAGGCACTGTCCGTGACCGTTGTCCAGGAAGGTGGTGACCATGAGGGCGGAGCAGGGGGACCAAGGCTCTCTCTGGTCCAGGTTGGACAGGGTGGAGGCCATCATGTGGGACCCCCAGTGGGGGCCGTTCACCCCAGCGCACAGCTGCGCGTCATCATGGGGCATGTTGAAGACATGGCCTGGAGACAGAACCGGGTGATGGAGGATTTAGGCCAAATACTAGTCAAAATAACAAGACCTAATTTCATCCAGCTTTTTAGTTCTTGCTTTAGACCTGGTTTTGACTTGCTCAAGACGTGCTTTAAAACCTGTTTTATACCTGGTTAAGTCTCAGCTTTAGTCTCTTTTTTTAGACCTGCTTTCACCTGTTTTCACCTGCTTTAGTCCAGCTTTAGACCTGCCTTGGACCTATTTTAGACCTGTACTACTATCAGTATCAGTATTAGTATTAGTATCATATTTGCAGTAGTAGTAGTAGTAGTGTTTCTTACCCAGTTCGTGAGCCACAGTGAAAGCCGCCTGGAGTCCGTCGTCCTCGATGATGGAGCAGCTCCGGTCGGGATCACACACTGTCCCCACGTCTGCCATCCCCAGAGTGTCACAGGAGTGAGCACCACACAGGTCCTGAGGGGGAGAGGGGGAGAGTGGGGGTGAGGTGAAGAACTCTACCTGGCATCGCAACAATGCTACATCCTGCGTCCCATTTTAATTTACACATATTTGTAATACTAGTATTAGTAGCAGTCGTAGTAGTATTTTAAATCCAAACTTTTATTACAGATAAGAAGTATACTCTTTCAGATTGTGATATAAGTACTATAACAACTGTCTTTTTTGTATGAGAAACACTGGTGCAACTTGTGGAATTCTGGCCCACTCCTCTCACTCACAGTCCTGGTGAAGAGCACAGCGGTGTCGTAGTGTTCCGGATGGCTGTCTCTGGGCGGGTTGTGCTGCCGTTGCCACTGACAGAAGTTCCTTAGGGTCATGGCGGCGTTGGAGGACACCTGGGGACCCTTCTCCTCCTCGGTCACCACCAGGAGCTTGACCACAGCGAGGGAGATGGAGTTATGAATGCTATGGTGGCGGTAGAGTCTGGACGCCACCGCCATCACGGTAAGGAGATACGGCTTGAGTCCAGCACCGTGGAAACGTGCCATGGAGCCGTCGGCGACAAGCAGGATCTCCAGGAACCGAGGAGACGAGACAAAGCGCTTGGAACGCTGATGAGCTGAGAGAGAACAGGCTGCGGTTAGCTACATGGACCTTGTGTATAGCAGTAGTAGTAGTCATAAAAGTAGTAGCAGTGGTAGAAGTAGTAGTATTAGCAGTAGTATTAGTAGTAGTTCCAGTCCACACATTTGCTACCATTAAAAAGTAATTCCAGTAGTAATAGTAGCAGAAGTGGAAGCAGTAGCAGTAGCAGAAGCAGTAGCAGTAGCATGACCTTCTGTCTAAATTAGTTAGACTTCAATTTTAAATTTGGGAAAAAACCCAAAACAAAGTCTCCTCCTGCAGCAAAGAGAAACAGGCAGAATGACTTTTTACCCTTCTCACTTGTCTCACTGTATATTATCTATTCTCTTGTATAATTTTTTTATTATGAAAATAATGCATCATATTTCTGCTTTAGATTTCTGCTTTTTCTTGCTTGTGATCAAGTCTCTCCATGGCCTTGTTTTAAAAGTTTCCTTGTTCTGTGAGGCATATATTGTATGAGTTGTGCTATACAAATTAACTTGCATTGCCTTAATGAATAAGACAGGACATCTACATGGGATAAGAGTTTTAAATCTTGAAATCTTTGCGATTATTGTGTGTGTAGCAGCAGCAGTAATAGTAGCAGTAGAAGTAGAAATAATAGTAATAAGAGCAGATATAGTTTGTAAATTGACTTTTTATGAGTAAAAGTTGAATAAAACATTTGCTTTTATGACTATGAATGAACCACAGCTTAAATGGGCAAGAACTCCTTGTTTTGCTACAGTTCAGTTCCAAAAAGCTTCGAAAGATTGTATCACCTCTGGACTTGACACAGCTAACACGACAGAACGTCATTCCCTCACATTCCTGAGAGGAAACAGCGATTTGGAAATCCACCGTTCTCTTTGGTACCAGGACTTAAGCTGGGTCTGCCCCCAGCTCTACCTCTCTGTGACCGCCACCAGCCTCCTCCTCCTCCTCCTCCTTATTCTAACACCGAAAACCTGTCTGGAAAGTTGAAATAAACACACACTTCACTTCTGAGCAAGCTTCTGCAGTGAGGAGGATCAGTGAGGGGCTGGTGCTCTGGTAACTGGGAGCAGCTCCGACCGCCACCCCCGACCCAGAACTGGATTAAGGGGAAGAAAATATATAGATGGATGGATTTAGTGGCTTAGTGATTATGTGAGGGCTCACTACTTCTACTACTTCTACTTCTACTACTACTACATGTAGAGTGCGTGTGGATGCATATTCCCCAGTCTTTAAGCGTAGATCAGGCTCTTTCAACAAATCCCCCCTTCCCTTCTGTCAAACTGATTACTCCTTAAATCCATCTGAGTGTGCAGTTATCACCCATCTCTCAGTTTTAAAGGGACAACTTCTGGTTCTATTGTAGTTTGGATGCAGAATTGGCTTTTTAAGACATGTAATATGAGCATAATGAAGAAATCTTCGGTCAAATGTAATTGAACGGGAAAAATAGTCTTTTTAGTAGGAGCGGCAGTAGCAGTAGATGTTGTGGGAAAATTTACGTTTTATGAGGAAATATTGAATAAAACCTTTGCTATTATGACTTGAATGAACTGCAGCTGATTTAACTGAGAGAGCAGAGAACACATCAGCCCTGGGTTTATGTGAGTGCGCACCAGTCTCCATAAACAGAGAGTTTACCAATCAGGGGTTCAAGGACACACAACACTGTACTAAAACTCATACTTCTACTAATACCATGCATAATTTTACTACTATTGATGCTCATACTTCTACTACTTATACATCTACTACTAGTACTCTTACTGCTACTCATACATCTACTACTACTCTTACTTATACTTCACACAGTACTCGTCCTCACCTGCGTCCATCTGCTCCGCTTGCGCCTCCTCCTGCTCCACTTTCTTTACTCGGGCTTCATCTTCGTTTACCCCACACTTCACGCCTCCCTCCTCCTCCGTCACCCCGGCCTCAAAACCTCCGCTGATCGCCCGCATCACCACGTGCACGTCCTCCTCCTGCGCGCTCCCGTAGTCGCTCCCGTTGCGCGGTTGGATGAAGTACTCCCTCCCGCCGTAGTAGAATCCACCTCTCAGTCCGTGGCACACGTTCAAAGCGGCGGCAGATTTCACGTCCCCGTTAACTTTACCGGAGTAGAAGCACGCTCGATTCGACTCTGGCTCACCGGGTAATCGAATTTCCGCAGAACCGATTACGTGGAACACAAACCCGGGCGCGAGGAAAGTCTCATCAGACTCCAGCTCCAACACCAGCCTCTCTCCAAACACGTCAAACCGGTACGCTCGCATCTCTCGCCGCTTCTCCGCTTGTTCGTGCGTAAACGTGTCCTCAGCGTTAATCGATTTGGGGTCGAGTTGAATGGGTGTCACTTCGCTTCGCTCCCACTTGTTGCTGCTTCCCTGCGACGTCACGCACAACGCCACAGAAACGGCGATGCGTAAAAGCAGCATTTTATTTTTCAGTGGTGTCTATTTAAAGTTTCCAACACAAAAATGAACACAGAATCCTTATGTCTCAAATCCAGCGCGTGCGTAAAACATATATCAGGAGCAAAGTGAGTTAATCCAAGTTTAAAGTGCTGTTCCTGCTTCGTTCTTGTGTCTTGCTTGTCTTTTGCGTTATCCACTCTCTTGCAGTAGCCTTTATATCCATCTCCCCTACCTCCAGACCCTCCCACTGTTACTTTTTTCCTCTCTCGCTCCCTTTGATCCAAAGTCGGGCGCATGCAAGCAGCGAGCTGGACTGACGCCACGAACCTCTATCACCCCCTCCTCCCTCTCCTGTGCTTTTAATACATTCAACATTTCTGGCTGCAGGTTTATTCCTAAATACAACTATTAAAACACTACATATGCATGTGTTGACAAATATCGACGCGGTTTTAAATGGTTACGCGCGCGAATAATGACTTTTCCCAGTTGTAACACGTTTTGTGTTTTTATCACTCGTATGAATTGGTAAAACACATGTAATATGTGATTAAACTTGGATTAAACTCGGGTTGTACTGCTGCAAATATGTACAACTTCTTCTAAAGTCGATTTCTTGTTGAGGCAAATTTGTGGCGTCTCTCCCAGTCCACCTTAAGAAGAGTCGGAGAGAGAAGTGCGTCTGTTGTAACACAAGGTTTGTCCGATAGAGGGAGCACTGCAATAGGGAAAGGTGCGAGCGACATTCTCGCGTTTTTAAGCGCTAGTTTGGTGTTTCGACGCGAGGTGGCGCTGTTGTGCTGTGCTTTTGAAGGACAGACTGGAGAAACATTTGCCTGGCCTGCCAGACACTCCTCCTTTCTGTTCAAAAGAAGAACCTTGAAAAAGCATATCGTTTGGCAGGCCAGGCAAGAGAAACATGAGGCTTGAGTCTAATTTAATGATATTTAGTGAGTGAAATATGTTGTCATCCTGCCTTATATACTACTTACATGATAATTATGAACGAAAACAGGATGAACCATACTTTTATGCGTCTGTGAGGGATGTTTTTATTAGAACTGAATTAACGGTCGATGTTTTGTTGCTGACACTATTTTACTCTTACTATTAAATTCACATATTCATGCTTTAAAAATAAGTCTTTAGTAGTGTGGATGAAGAAAATTTTCACAATGGCTGCCACAGCGCGGTCGCAGCAGCAGCAGTCTCGCTCGGTACTTTACCAATGTTTTTATGGGCGATCTGATTTTAATCTGCCGAGAGATGTAACAATCTCTTGTCCTGCTAACACTCTGCGTCCTCTCCTGCCTGTACCGCTACCTGTTACTACCCAAGGATAATGGAAGAGCTTACACACCAGCAGCTCGCAGCCAAATCCTTCTGTACTCTAAATTCCTGGATTATGGACATCCACGAGTGCACAAAGTGCATAAGAAAGAAAACGGGCCATGGAAAGTACGGACTTCGCTTTTGTATTATGTGGTATTGATTTTACTGGCAGGGGACGTTGAACTAAATCCTGGCCCGCAGGGACTAGGGGCTGAGACCAATGAGCTAGCGCCGACGCCAGTGCTAACATCAGGATGGCTCGGGCTAGCGCAGAAACGGCTGCAACCAGCGGTACATGAGTTGGCTTTGGAGCTATGTCATCCGACTGCGGGCTTTGAGCTCGTCTTGAAGCCACGTCCTGCGGCTGGCGGTGGGTTGGCATTTGAGCTTTCACCGTCAGCGGTGGACTGCATGTTAGCATCTGAGCCACAAGCTACGGGCAGCGGGCTATTGGCGGAGCTAGTAGCGGGGCCAACATCGGAGCCAGCGGCGGAGCTAGTAGCGGGGCCAACATCGGAGCCAGCGGCGGAGCTAGTAGCGGGGCCAACATCGGAGCCAGCGGGGGAGCTTGCAACGGAGCCGGTAACGGAGGTAACGGAGCTAACATCGCCAGCAACGGACCATGGGATAGTCTCAGAACCACGATCACAAAAAAATATTAATCAATCAAAACCTACGAACTCTAAGGTAACATACAGACAGCAGCAGACAAAACTTTTACAAACTGTGAACCATGCTAAAGTTATCTGGGACCCTGATGTTAAACCAAAGGGGATTTTTGGTGGTCACCTTAATATCAGGAGTCTCCCATCTAAAACAGATCAACTTCAGAAATTATTGTATGACTCTAACTTGGATTATTTGGGGCTCTCAGAAACATGGTTAAAAAAACATTCCCCAGCAGGCACCTATACCATGCAGAACTACAACATATTTAGGAAAGATCGACCACATAAAAAAGGAGGTGGGGTGATGTTGTATGTTAAAAAGACTATCGAATGTAAACAGATAAATCTTCCCCAGAATGATCTGGAGTGTGTGGGAGTTACAATCTGTTTATCCCCCGAAATGTCTTTTAACTTGGTTGTCGTGTATAGGCCACCTAATGAGAAGGATGTATTTTTTGACATGTTTAAAGACATATTAAAAGCATGTAGCAACAAGGAAACCATCGTAATGGGTGATTTCAACCTAAATTGGGTAGATAAAACGCGGTCCAATAAGCTAAGACACCTTGCTAAACAGTTTAAATTTCACTCAAATGATTAAGAATCCAACCAGAATGACTAGCTCCTCAAAAACCTTGCTGGATTTGATTTTCACTAACAGGGCGGAAAGGGTTAATAAAACGTATAATTTAATAACTGGTTTATCGGACCATAATCTCACTCTAGTTTCAAGGAAACTCTCTAAATATCGTTATAGAAACCAAAATAAAGAAGGGTCCTATGTATCAGTTATTTCAAAGCGTGATATGGAGCTTTTAGATGCTGAAATTGAAACTACTATGCAAAATAATTTAGTTTTTGGCCAGGATGTCGAGCAGGCTTGTAGCACTCTTAAAAATGCAATCTCTCAAATTCTTCTAAAATTTACAAAAACAGAGCCACGAAGATTTAAAAGTAAAAAAAAATTACCGTGGTTCAATGAGCGGCTATGGGTCCTAATGAAGGATAGAGATGCTTCCCTAAAAAAGTATCTCAAGTCAAATTTGAGAACTGACCGAATGATCTTTAAAAGCCTCAGAAACAAAGTAACTGGACAGCTTAGAAGAGCAAAAGCGGACTTCTTTTTGGACATTATTAAACAAGCCAAGGGTAATAGCAAAATTATATGGAAGTGCATAGACAGTCTCTCTGGGAAAGAGCGGACTGGAAATGGACCTATTGAACTTAACATTAACCCTTGTAATACTGGAACACTCACACCTGTAACACAAGTCACCACAAAGGACAGCTCAACTATCGCAAACATGTTCAACGACTATTTTATCTCTTCAATCTTGGAATTGCGTAAATCCTCAAGTACGGAGTTGCATTTAACATCATCTGCAGCCTCTATTAGGGCTGTGGCGACGCGGCCCACAGATGGACTACAATCCATTTCTGTGGAAGCTCTAGACTTTGAATCTGTGAGCGAAGGCGAGGTTAATAAAATAATTTCCTCACTTTCAAATTCGAGAGCCAAAGATTGTTGGGGATTTGATTCACTCCTTCTAAAAAAACATAAAGAGGTTTTCACTGGTCCAATCACGTACATAATGAACCAATCACTAAGAGAATGTGTGTTCCCCTCCTCTTGTAAATTTGCAGTTGTTACGCCCATTTTTAAGGCAGGTAACAAAAAGGAATTGATAAACTATAGACCAATTAGTATACTTCCTACTGTCTCAAAAGTTATCGAAAAAATTGTTGCGGAACAGCTGGTGGAACACCTTGACAATAGAAATATGTTACACCCCATGCAATTTGGCTTCCGATCAAAACATTCCACCGATACAGCCTGTTGTTATCTTCTTGAGGTGATTAAGTCCAATCTAGACAAAGGAGGGGTGGTTGGGGCCATTTTTCTGGATCTGCGTAAGGCTTTCGACACAGTTAACCACTCAGTGCTGCTAACAAAACTGTTGAATTTTAATCTTTCAGCAAACACTATTAGTTGGTTTCAATCTTACCTTGCAGATCGTTTTCAGTGCGTAAAAATAAATGATAAGATCTCACCTTTTAGCCCCTGCACTACTGGTGTACCACAGGGGTCTATCTTGGGGCCATTGCTTTTCTCTTTGTACATCAATGACCTACCTTCCATCTGCGATGATGTGGAGGTCTTGATGTACGCTGATGACACGGTTCTATTTACTCACAGCTCTGATGCAAATCTTGTCGCAGATAAATTATCTATAGCTATGAATAAAGTAATAGAGTGGTTGAACAAGTCGAGCCTTGTGCTGAATTCAGAAAAAACTGTTACTATGTATTTTTCCAACAAAAGAAAGAGTGTTCTTCCAAATATCTATGTGGATGGTTTGATGATCAAAAATGTCCAAGAAATCAAGTACCTAGGTGTAGTGCTGAATCCTACCCTTAATTTTAAAAACCATGTTAAAAAGGTTTGCCGCGTTCTGAAATTTAACATCGCCAACTTCCAGCACATCAGGAGCTCTTTGTCATTGGAAGCGGCTAAATCATATCTTAATGCAATGATTATATCTCATATCATGTATTGTGTGTCTTCATGGTCTCAAGCTAAAACAACGGTTTTAAACCCCCTTAGATCGTTGTATAACCAGGCTTTGAAAGTCCTGGATAAAAAGCCTCGCCGGTACCATCACTGCAATATACTTGAAAAATACAGCATACTAAGCTTTGACAATCTGATTAGGTATTCCGATGTACGCTTGGTTCATAAGATTCTTAATGATACTGCCCCACCCCCCCTAAAAACATATGTACAGCTTCGCTCACAGCTAACCAACAGAGCATTAAGATCTGTGTCCAGGGGTGACTGCAATGTTCCTAAGAGAAAGTCTGCCTTCTCTCAATCAGCCTTTTCCTACAAAGCCACTAAAGAATGGAATGGGCTCCCAGACAATCTAAAGAACAATGCAGATTTCCACAGTTTTTCACGGGCAGTTAAAGACTGGCTTTTAGATCAACAGTCCTGCTCGCACTAAAAGTACCAGATGGATACTTGGCCATCAGGTGTTACCCTCGCGGGTATCGTCTGATGGCCACCACATCACCACATTATTAGTGTTTAAAAACTATTGTATCTATGTGCTAAGTATGTATAGCTACTAAATAATTATGAAAACTGTTGCACTTTATCATTCTGCACTTTATGAACGCAACTGGCACTTTTCATCTGCACTTTTACTATATATTGCATGTTTATTGTCTATGTTTTGTATTGTAATTAACTCTGCTATGTATTTTAATTGTATTTTTGATTGTATAAGGACTACAGATGGAAATTAGCATTGTGCTAAATCTGGGGCAGCCATCTTTTTAATGTACCTGTCCGTTGTCCTTTTAAATAAATAACTAACTAACTAACTAACTTTCTCTCTCTCTCTCTGTGTGTGTGTGTGTGTGTGTGCAACTCTCGTTTTTGTTAACCTTGCTTTAATTCATTATATATAGTGTAAAACACTATATATTTGAATATATGTAAAAAATAACAATAAGTGTTTGCTTATAATTAATATTTGTTTTATTTTCATCCATTACGATCACCTTTTTATTCCACCTCTGTGTCAGTCAACCTTAGAAACAAATTCAGTTTATTTGCCATTTGCAGTAAAACCACATTGGAATGCATTTGCAGCAGAAAAGTATATAAATAAAACTATGGCTTTATTCAAAACAGCTTGAACATTTCCCCTTTAGTCCTCCCTCCCCCCTGTCCATCAGCCTAAGGCTGTGTTCAACATATAAACGCAGCGTCCACACGCACTGGATGCACATTCTAGAAAATCTGAAGTACTGCCCTGCGATGCCCCAAAAAGCAGGGCAGAAGTGGCGGGCGGGCTTTGATGCTAAGAGGGTTAAGATAGAGGCATTTTATGTAAAGTTCTCTTGCTCTGAGAGAGAGAGAGGGACTAGAAAGAGAAAGATCAGAGAGAGTGACCAGAGATTGAAAGCATTGCATGTTCTCCCCATGTGTGTGTGGTCTCCTCCTGGTGCTCCGGTTTCCCCCACTACTATAACCATATGCAATTGTTCTGACTGCGAGAGTGAAGGATGGAGATGGTCAGTTCGGAGTCTCGCTCCACGCGTTATCACCGTGTGGCGATCGCTGGTGCAACACAAGTAGCACGATAAAGGTAAATGCTTTGTTTGACCTTGGTCTGTGAAATGCGCTATGTAAATAAATTTTACTTACTCAAATTTGAATAAAATACATACAAAAACACATATATTCTACTCTCCTCTCCTCCCTCTGGTGGCAGCACAGGGAGTTACAGGTAGAAAGCATTATTTACCATTAACACTTCACACCATAGATATTATTTCAGATTCTAGCACATGAAATGACAAAGCAAATTGTGTCATCATTGTTTTTAATAACAAAATATATCTTCTTTGATGTAAAACCTGATGTTTAATTGTGTGGAGTAAGAATGAGGACAGACAACAAAAAAAGTTAAATATATATATTTTATGTACATAGATTTCATGTGGAGACTTTAAGACTTGTTACAGATTCGCCCAGAGTCCGGTTCCAAACTCACTCAAATAAATAGTAATTTTGACTCATTATTATTCACAAAATAAATTACATGTTCAGTGCCGTTCCTCTGTGTCCCATTAGACCAGGGGCAGGTGTGGCTGCAGGAGACCAGAGAGAGAGCCAAGAGAAAGTTGAGAGAGAGATTAGTGAGAGAGACTGGACTTGCAAGAGGATCAGGGCTGGATCTCCTGCAGCCACACCTGCAGTGAGGACCGGTTTGACCCCTGTATTACACCAACATGACCATACTGTGGGTCAATCTATGGATGGGTGAAGCCTGCCACAAAAAGTGATGCCAAAAAAAGAGATTTACAAATTTTCAGTGGGAACTTTTCAACATAATTATATAAACTGTTATTGGATTAGTTCAAAATAAAGAGTAGAGTAGTAGAGGCCAGAGAGAGAGGCCAGAGAGAGAGACCAGAGAAAGCGAGAGAGGCCAGAGAGAGAGACCAGAGAGAGCGAGAGAGGCCAGAGAGAGAGACCAGAGGGAGTGAGAGAGGCCAGTGAGAGGCCACAGAGAGAGACCAGAGAGAGCGAGACAAGATAGAGCGAGACCAGAGAGAGGCCAGAGAGACCAGAGAGAGGCCAGAGAGACCAGAGAGAGACCAGAGAGAGGCCAGAGAGACCAGAGAGAGACCAGAGAGAGGCCAGAGAGACCAGAGAGAGACCAGAGAGAGGCCAGAGAGACCAGAGAGAGACCAGAGAGAGGCCAGAGAGACCAGAGAGAGGCCAGTGAGAGGCCACAGAGAGACTAGAGAGAAGCCAGAGACCAGAGAGAGTGAGAGAGGCCAGAAAGAGAGACCAGCGAGATACCAGAGAGAGACCAGAGAGAGACCAGAGAGAGACCAGAGAGAGACCAGAGAGAGACCAGAGAGACCAGAGAGGTCCGAGAGAGAGACCAGAGAGAGGCCAGAGTGATCAGTAGAACTGATCTTTGCAAACAGAAATTGTAATATTCTACAAACATATCACATTCTCTCTGGAATGATTGTACAACACAGTCAAGCTAGAACTACAAAAGGTCGTAAAACATTTTTAAATAGTATTTTTTGGCAGAACTTTTTAAAAATGGCAAACCGCATGCATCCGAATACTGCAGTCGAACAAAGAATAATCACCTTTACAAAACAAAAGCATATAGTTTATAGTTTTTGCAAGTTTCCAGGGCATACATTGTCATTTTATTACACAAAAACACAAATCTATATAAACCCATTTAGAACATTTAAATTGCAAGCTTTGCCCAAAACAGATCGAGATTCTTCAATGTTGTAATAACTCATGGATCAAAGGGACATGTTTCTATTGCGGCAGATGGACAGAGACTTTATTTTTGAATTTCTCATGATAATCTTTAATTAAAAGTGGTTTGTGGCAACAGTGGTGATTGAACTGGATGGAAGAAAAATATATTAACTATCAATATCGACAGAAGTAGAACTATGGCTGCTATTGCTGTTATTTTTAGAACTTAACTGATAATGAGCATCACTGTATCTGCAATTATATCTAATTTCAGACCGAATTTGAGGTTTCTGCATTTTAAGAGTTATTGGTATTAGCCATAGTGTATTGTAGCAGAATGTTGAAAATCAGAGGAATTTCCCATCACTTGTGGCGAGAAAGCTGATTATTCCCAATAGTTTATTTTCTTGTATTAGTTTGTATTAATTTTTTATTTCCAAAAAGTTCAATATACATTTTACTATATTTCAGGATTTTCTCTAGTATTTTTCAATAGGAATGTCCCTGGTTCTGGATCCAGTGTCTAGATTATTTTGACATACGTTTGTTTGACCAGTGGCAGGTCTGGCAGTAGAGACCAGAGCGAGTGAGAGACCAGAGAGAGAGACATGAAAGACAGTTGCTTAGTCAGTAGAAGTCAGAAGTCAGTATATTAGTTGGCAATGGTAAAGATCGGCGAAAATTGTGGTGGCTTGAAAACAGCATTATCCTCAATAGTACATTTCAAAACAAAGGACAATTCTTATAAAAATACAATACACTTGCTCTGTGTGTAAAGGAAACCAGATTCTCCTGTTTTTCAAATGGCCATGTGTTTGAAATATCTTCGGAAGTCAAAGCTAAGGGTGCCTGTTTGGGACAGGGTCGTTGGTCTAGCACACATGACTTTATGCGAGTTTTGAATCTTGCATCAAAAAGAGACACCAATCGAGATTTTCCATACAGTTCATAATGGTCCATTGAATGTTTCTGTCGTGCAGGATCGGTCTGGTCAACTTGCATAGCATCCGATTGAAGCTTCACGGGGGTTTCCTCTGGCAAAAGGTTGTCCAGTTAAAAAATAACACAAAAATAATGTTGGCTAAAAAGTTGAAGCATGTTTGGGAGGAAAAAAGTGACTATAAAGTATAGTGTCTGAACTACTACTAATAGTAGTTCAGACAATACATTGACAGTGTTTAAACATTCTTTTAGTTTTGTATTTTTTTTCCCATAAAAATGCCTACAGATGTTTTAAATATTGTGCGGTAGAAATCCTTTTCAAAAATCTACATTTTGTCAAAATAAAATTGTGAGAAGGTTTTGGCGTGTTTTGAATATTGTACGGTTGGATGGTGATGGTGGCAAATACACTGTCAAATTAGAACGATAGTCTATATGCTAAACAGGGTTGGGCCAAGACCTGATCCCTGAGGAACCCCTTCTGCCTTAACTGGGGGAAACAAACTAAATGTAGTCAACTCTTGCTCAATAACCCCTCAATCTTAGAACCTTCCTCGTTCTCCCCAGCACTTGTGACCTTGTTGGCTTCTTTAAAATAGTCTTTAAACAAATTTCTCAAGGACATTTCTTGACGAGGCAGTGTCTGAACGCAGAAGGTCTGGCTCCGAGCGTGCAACCTTTAGACAGCTTCCCCTCTGGGTCTTTACACTGCACCGTCCTGCTTTGCCAACCAGTGTCGCAAGTCCTCGAACAGGTCATCCAAGACCCGGTCACCCACTGAGGCCCTGGTTGTGGAGTTGTCACTGGAATATTCCACATAGTAGTTGTAGTAGTAGTAGTCATAGTAGTGGTCGTTGAAGTAGTCTTGGCTGCGGGATTGGTCCGTCTGGGCATGTAGAAGCTGTAGCGGATATCCAGCGGCTTCTTGGCGTCCGTGGCGAGGATCTGGATGGTGATTGGTTCCTGGATTGCACCTGGGCCCATGCTGTGAAGCCACTCGTCGCGTTGGCTCCAGCCGCTGTAGTTCAGGACGGAGCCATTGACCGGGACGATGGTCTCTGAGGTGGAGATCATGAACTTCCCATTGAGGAGGTAGTCTGAGTTGGGCTTGCGGACGGCGAGGTACGCAGAGTATCGGGTCTGGTCTTTGGCCTTGTGCTGACGGACTTTGATGTGGGTGGAACCGGATGGAATCTTCACCACGTCTGTGTAGCCCTTACTGCGGGAACAAGCACGAAATGGATTAAATTCAACGTATTTGCGCACAGTTCTAAATCACAAGTCACTAACAGATTAGAGAATCAAACACAGGAAATGCAATGAGAACAAACACATAAGAGCCATTGGTCCATAGGGAATGAAATGACCCCTGTCCACGAATGTTAATGAATGTTCTTAAATGTCCCGGTTCATCACCGTCCTCAGTCCTGCATCGACAAGGAACCACTCAAACAAAACTTATGGGAAAAAAGTGAGAAACCTCAGGCTCACATTGAGAGAAAGATCCGCTCCAGATGTTAGATGTACGATCGCTCTGAAAGGAGAAGACTTTTCTCTATGTCACAACATTGTACCTCATCAGTCACAGACTTGGAGTTGATTTTAGATCCATCCATGCTAATACCACCACATGTAGAGTGTCCAGTGGACCAGGACACTCTACACTCTACAACATGTATGGACATTTATCAACATTCATGGACATTGGTCTCCTCCTATGGTCCAATACCATGTGTTCTGTATTTTTTGTGTCTTAACTGTTGATTCTCTGATCTGTGTTGACAATTTCTACGGTTCTGTTAAGTCCTCTAAGACTTAATACACAGAGACACACACACACACACACACACAGTTGTATGTACAGTATGTACCTCTTCTTGGTGAAGTTGCCAGCGACGCGCACACAGCCACTGCTGTCTCCTCCACAGATCCCACATTTGTCGTATTGAAGTTTGGAGCCGATGATTCCGTCACAGCCCGTTCTCACACACTTTCCCCGAACACACACTGAACTGCTGAACGGACGACACTCTGTCCCATCTGTCACCTGCACACAAGACACACATCAGAGGTCAGAGACACACACACAGGACACACAAGCAGAGGTCAGAGACACACACTCAGAGGTCAGAGATGCACACACACACTCAGAGATACAGAGACACACACACTCAACAAGAGATCCACAGATACAGGGGTTTCTGAGAGCGATGGAGCATTTTAAAGACCGATTGGTTTGAGGGTTAACGCTAAACTTTGAGATGCAGCTGATCGTAGTCATAAGCTTTGTTTTCCAGATCCGGAGATAATCTTCATGAGGGTTAGTTTCAAAGCTAGTGAACTTCACTTTCAAAATAGAGAATTAGTTTTCTAAATAAAGACTGGAGCAGAGACTAGAGCTATAGTCAAGTTTTTCTTCCATTAAACGGTGTTATTTGGTGACAGTGTGAGAGGTGGGGGCCGTTAGAACTGACCCAGGAGAAATAAACATAATTATAAAGTGTTATGTGAACTTTGCGTGTGACATCAGTGAATCTTGACCCATTTGAAGCAACAAAGAAGTGTGTGTCTCTGACCTCTGGCTCTTACATCACAAGTTCTTAAATAGAAGTTATATGGAAAAACTTGTTCTAGTAGTACTACTGCTGCTACTGTGTTTTGTAGCAGTCTTCCTGGCTCTTACCCTCGGGGAGAAGACCACGTAGTACCCAGTCCCTCTGGCTCGGCAGGTCAGTTTGCACATGTCTCTGGGAAGGACGCCTGCGTATTTCGGGACCCACTCCACAAACGTCTTCACTCCTTTGGGGTCGGTCTGAGGGCCGTTACGCACCTCGCACTGCTCCTCACGGAAACTTTTAGCTGCAACAAACACAGAACTACTCTTTAGATTGGACACAAACCTGACCCTGACTTCCGAGCTCCACAAGAGAACTTCATTAAACATGATTTTTTTTATACTCATCTTAACAGAATAAACCAATACAGTACTTTTACTTCTGGTATACCTCTGTATTAGTAGTAGCAGCGGTAGCAGTAGTAAGAGAACTAGTAGCAGCACCAGCAGCAGCAGTAATAGTAGCAGCTGTAGTAGCAGTAGCAGTAGTAGCAGCAACAGTAGCAGTAGTAGTAGCAGCAGCAGTAGTAGCAGCAGTAGTAGCAAAAGTAGTAGTACAAGATACAAGAATTTATTTGCCATTTGCAGTAGAACCACATTGGAAAAACTACTACAACTACTACAGCTACACACTACCCCAGTGTGCAGCTGTAGTAGCAGCAGCAGTAGCAGTAATAGCAGCAGTAGTTACTTACCATTGACAGGGCAGGGGTTCCCGTTGCAGGACCGGTACACTGCCCTCTTCCCGGTGCAGTACCGGCCGTTGTTCCTAGGGGGTGGGTTGTTGCAAAGTCTCTGGGCGAACTGCACTCCCCCCCCACACGAGCGGGAGCAGGATCCCCAGGGCCCCCAGGAGCTCCAGGCCCCGTGGTTCGACGTCTGAGAGGAACAGACAACACAACAATAGTGAGAGGAGACACTATAGCCAGAGTACAGCACTTTAAAGAGATACAGATCCCTCCAGGCAAGTAGTTTTGATAATTTCTCAGGTAAAATGAAAGTTCTTGTGCATACGTTAATGCTACTGCTACTGCCTCTGCTACTACTACCGCTACGGTCGGCACTAGATCATATACGGAATCGGGACGAAACCGAAAGTAACAATCCTACTTTCGAATTAGTTTTAGACTAATAAGTCCTTAAGTGGTGACTGGTTAAGTTTTAGGCGTCTGAGTAAGATGGTTAAGGTTAGGGTTAAGGGTGGGTTGGGGTTATTTTATGGGAATGGCTGGTTAAGTTTAGGCATGAATAGGTAGTTTGTTATATTTACTTCCGCTTCCGTCCCGATTCCGTATATGATCTAGTGCTGACCCTACTGCTACTGCCTCTGCTACTACTACTGCTACTACTACCGCTACTGCTACCGCTGCTACTCCTCCCTTTAGTGGTACCAGGTCCTTCTTAAATCCCTGGTTCTATCCAGGCCGAGCTGGTATTAAAGTGTTCCAACTGACAGTGTTTGGCCAGAGTGCTGCTGGAAGCCACGTTTACCAAAGAATTTCCCTGGATACAGGGGTGATCCAGGGAACAGATACTAAAGTGTAATGGAAATACCGGGTAGAAGAGTAGACTAGGGTAGACTAGGGTAGACAAGGGTAGAGTAGACTAGAGTAGAGTAGACTAGAGTAGACAAGGGTAGAAAAGGGTAGAGCAGACTAGAGTAGACTAGAGCAGACTAGAGTAGACTAGAGTAGACAAGGGTAGACAACAGTAGAATAGACTAGTAGACTAGTAGACTAGAGCGGACTAGAGTAGACTAGAGCAGACTAGAGTAGACTAGAGTAGAGTAGACTAGAGTAGACTAGAGCAGACTAGAGTAGACTAGAGTAGACAAGGATAGACTAGGGTAGACAAGGGTAGAGTAGACTAGAGTAGACTAGAGTAGACTAGAGCAGACTAGAGAAGACTAGAGAGTAGACTAGAGTAGACTAGAGTAGACTAGAGTAGACTAGAGCAGACTAGAGAGACTAGAGTAGACTAGAGTAGACTAGAGTAGACTAGAGCAGACTAGAGTAGACTAGAGAGACTAGAGTAGACTAGAGTAGACTAGAGTAGACTAGAGCAGACTAGAGAAGACTAGAGTAGACTAGAGTAGACTAGAGTAGACTAGAGTAGACTAGAGCAGACTAGAGAGACTAGAGTAGACTAGAGTAGACTAGAGTAGACTAGAGTAGACTAGAGTAGACTAGAGCAGACTAGAGTAGACTAGAGTAGACTAGAGTAGACTAGAGCAGACTAGAGTAGACTAGAGTAGACTAGAGTAGACTAGAGAGACTAGACAAGAGGAGAGCCAAATAGGGCTGGTGGAAACAAGGCTAAAGTCGGAGTTGTTCCCATTAAAAGTTGCTATTTGGTGACAGTGTGAGTGGTGGGGGCTGTTAGAACTGTTCCAGGAGAAATAAACATTATAAAGTGTTATGTAAATGTTGCGTGTGACATCAATGAATCTTGACCCAGTTCTTTCACGTGAGTTTGAAGCGACAAAGACTGTGTTTGTGTCAAGGAATCCTGATCTAGAAGTGCTCTGAAAGTAAGAAAAGTGAGACCAAATGAGCTTCTGTATGGGGATTTAGAAGCAAATGTTATAGAGCCAGGAAATGGATGTTAGTATTTAGTCTGGTTTAATATCAAGTTAAGTAAAGTTTTATTCTGGGTTGCCATGTTTGCCCCAAAGATCTGAAAATGGCTGGAGTTGTGTAAGAAGTGGAGTTTGAGGCATGTGACGCTTTGAGAGAACGTCTCACATGTTATTCATATGATTCATCTCTGGCAGATTTATATGGACCAGGATTTTAGACCAGCACTAGACCAGAGCTAGACAGGACAAGACAAGAGCCAGACCAGGGCAAGACCAGGGCAAGACCAGGGCAAGACCATGGCTAGACAAGGGACTAGACTAGACCAGAACTAGACCGGACAGGAGTACACCAGGATTAGACACGACTAGACCAAGACTAGACCAGGACTACGGTTAGGGTTTGACTGTTGCTATAGTTACCAGGACGGGTTTCTCAGGTGCCCTCACCACCACAATACCTCTGTTTTTGTTTTATTTTTCCTTGTGTGAAATGTTTCTTACTGTAAACATGTCTCATCTCTGTTTTAACTAGAGCCAAAACAAACAGTGACGTGGTTTTTATGAGGAGGTATGTCCTCAGCAGCTCTGAGCACTTAGTCATGTGGGTTTAGCACATGGAAAATGTAGATAGAGGATTGAGTCTGAAGAAGTAACTGGAAGAAGCAGCACTAAAAAACTGTTCTGTTCAGCAGTGTGTACAACTGAGGGATTTTATGTGTGATTGCACATAGCACTTTGAGTGGCCTAGAATTGTGCTTTACAAATAAAACAACACCAAAGAGAGAGACCAGAGGGAGAGACCATCGAGAGAGACCAGAGAGAGAGACCGGAGAGACCAGAAAGAGACCAGAGGGAGAGACCATAGAGAGACCAGAGGGAGAGACCAGAGAGAGACCATGGAGAGAGACCATAGAGAGAGACCAGAGGGAGAGAACTGAGAGAGAACTGAGAGAGAGACCAGAGAGAGACCATGGAGAGAGACCATAGAGAGAGACCAGAGGGAGAGAACTGAGAGAACTGAGAGAGAGACCATAGAGAGAGACCATAGAGAGAGATCAGAGAGAGAGACCGGAGAGACCAGAGGGAGAGACCAGAGAGAGAGACCAGAAAGAGACCAGAGAGAGAGGCCATAAAGAGACCAAAGCGAGAGACCAGAGCTAAAGACCAGTAAACACAGTCTCACCGAGTAATGCCTCTTGCGTGTCTTGTCCACACACTTCCCCTGGAGGCAGATGCGTCCCTTCCCACATGGCGTCCCCTCCACCGCCGGCAGCTTCTTGGTCAGACACACCATCTGTCCGTGCCGTACGACCGCACACCACAGTCTGGCACACACGTCCATACCAGGACACACCGTGTACTCGGACCCAAACGCCAGCCTGCACTGTCTCACCGCGTCGTAGGCCTGACCAGGGAGCTCCTCGGGTCCCAGGAGCGGGAGGCGAGGGACGTCCAGGAGGCACTCGGCTGAGGAGAGGAGGAGAGAACCAGATGAGGGTTATTTTATTTGTTGAGAGTTTGTGGGGGGTGTAGTCATGTAAGAGCAGGTCTTTCCTTCTTTGGTCACTATCTCCGGCCTCTCTCTGGGGTCTGTCTCTGGTCTCAATCTGGTCTCTCTCTAGTGTCTCTCGGGTCTCACACACTGCTAGCTCTCTCTGGCTTCATAGAGCTAGCAGGTTATCATTGTCCATCTATATACAGTCTTTGATCTACTGTAGGGTTTCAAATCAATATCTAACATAGAAATTCCTGATAAAATAATTTCTGTTTTTAATCTGTGCTGGTGTCTCCATAGTGACACAAACACTGCTGGGACTACTCTACAGGACCCAACGAGGCTCTGGTCACATGGGATCAATTAGACAAGAGCGGAAATACGCAATGTTGATAAAGCATGAATGCTGTTAAAGCTGGGGTACGTAACTTTCAGAAATACGACACAGTTTGTCCAACAAAAGGAGACTTGTGATGTTGATGTTGTGAACAAATCAGACCACAGAAAATGTTTTTCTTTAGTCCTGGTTTAGACCTGCTTTAAGTTGATTTCTGGTTTCTCTCTCTCTCTCTGGTCTTGCTCTCAGGTCTCTCTCTCTCTGGTCTCTCACAGTTTGGTTTTCTCTCTCCGGTCTCCCAGTCTCTCTCTGGTCTCTCCCTCTGGTATTTCTGGTCTCTCACACTTTGCCTTTCTCTCTCTGGTCTCTCCCTCTGGTCTTTTTGTTCTGGTCTCTCTCTGGTCTTAAATATTTGTATTCTTTCCTCTTTTCGCCAAATACTATTCAAAACAACATACTGACCATTTCCGTCGTCAAAGAAGTCTGTGATGGTGGCGGAGGTGCACTTGCTCCATGGTTTGGAGGCGTCGATGGAAGTCAGGATGGAAGACATCAGCCTCTTGTCGCTGTTGACTCCAAAACGCTCCTCACAGAACTTTGAGTCGTCATGAGAGAGACCCAAGAGGTGACCTGAAGAGAGAGGAGAAGGTTATACAAGAACTGAAGCTGAGACTAAAGCAGAGACTGGAGCAGAGACACACATCCCTGCTTATTCTCAAGTCTCTTTGTCTTGCTTCTTTCTGATCTCTCTTTGGTCTCTCTCTGTAAATGTAAAATGTAAATGTGTAAATTCTTTCCTGCATTTGACCCATCCTGATGCCACTTGGACCTCTGTCAGGAGCAGTGATTGCCGTAGTAGCTCGGGAACCCATCTCCAGATGTTGTTGCTTTGCTTGTCAAGACTGAAGCTGGAGGATTTCATAGTGCACGTCAGAAAGACCCTATTTCCAACTGGGATTCGAACCCAGGACCTTCTTGCTTAGAAGTGAGAGTGTTATCCACTCAACCACCGTACTGCCCTCTCTCTCTTTCGTCTCTCTCTGGTCTCTAGTCTCTCTCTCTGGTCTCTAGTCTCTCTCTCTGGTATTTAGTTTCTCTCTCTGGTATTTAGTCTCTCTCTCTGGTATTTAGTCTCTCTCTCTGGTATTTAGTCTCTCTCGCTGGTATTTAGTCTCTCTCTCTGGTATTTAGTCTCTCTCTCTGGTCTTTAGTCTTTCTCTCTGTCTCTCTCAGACACAAATCGTTTAGGATGTGTATGGATTGTCCTTTTTAAAGTACCATCTCAAAACATGAATGAAGAATGTGTCTTAAAGCAGACACTGTTCTCTGATGATCTCTGTTGTTTGGTTCTTAACGTCCTCTTGAACACACTCTGGTCTCTGCGCTGTCAGACAGGACTAAACGCGTCTCAGTTTTAATCCTGTCTTGTATTTCTCTCACATATTTGCTGAAGAAGCAGACGAAGGTTTCAGACGTGTTCTGTCCTGTTTAAATTGTCTAAAGTTAAATCCTGTTATTTCTGCGCACGCCGTTGCACGCACCAGTCTGCATTTAGGACTGTTGTGTTGCATAGATACAAACACACAAGACAGATATGGGTCAAACAGAAAGAGAGACGAGAGAGAGAGAGAGAGATAGAGCAGAGAGAGAGAGCGGGGAAAGAGACCAGAGAGAGAGAGAGGCCAGAGAGAGAGGCTAGAGAGAGAGACCAGAGAGAGAGAGGCCAGAGAGAGAGGCTAGAGAGAGAGACCAGAGAGAGAGAGAGGCCAGAGAGAGAGGCTAGAGAGAGAGACCAGAGAGAGAGAGGCCAGAGAGAGAGGCCAGAAAGAGAGGGACCAGAGAGAGAGAGAGGCCAGAGAGAGAGAGGCTAGAGCAGGGGTCTCCAACCTTTTTCAATCAGAGAGCTACTTTTACACAACAGAAGAGGCAGAGAGCTACTTCTTTTTGTGGTCATAATAAAACTCTAAGTAATAATTACGACAAACATGGAAAACAGAAATTTGTTAATACTGTATAACCCTAGATTTATACTTAGAATAGATATGAAATGACTAAGAATGTATTCATTCAAGATCATTTATCAAATCCTTTGGCGAGCTACCTGAAAGGGGCTAGCGAGCTACTGGTAGCTCCCGATACAGTACGGTTTGAAGACCTGAGAGAGGCCAGAGAAAGAGGCCAGAGAGAGAGAGGCCAGAGAGAGAGAGGCCAGAGAGAGAGAGGCCAGAGAGAGAGAGGCCAGAGAGAGAGAGGCCAGAGAGAGAGAGGCCAGAGGGCGAGGCATTCATCATTCATCCATAGTTATAGTATGAAATAAGGCCTTTACTAGTCCCATTAATTTGAATTACAGTTCGATGAAGAAACATCAATCCTCTCATCTCATCCACGTTCCTTTATTTTTATTATTGAACGCAGTAGAAATGTCAAAGACTGGAGCAGAGACTGAATCATAAAACTGCTCCCACTGTAGAGGATGGATATAACCTTAGAATTATAGCGGATAGATCTCCCAGGTGACAGACGCAGACTTGTATTTGATGTGAGTTTATTGAAATGAAAGGTGGAGTATAGTGAAAGAGAGAGTGGAGTTTTACCGATCTCGTGAGCGACGGTGAAAGCAGCGTGGAGACCATCGTCCTCGATCACCGCACAGCTCCTCTCAGGGGAACAGATGGTGCCCACGTCCGCCATGCCCAGAGTGTCGCAGGAGTGGTGACCGCACAAGTCCTGAGGGAGAGAGGGGGAGAGGGTCTGGTTATGATCCTGTCCCAATGCACAAGACCTGAGCTAATCCTGTTTGCATTGTCCATCTACAGTATATACAGTCTATGATCCAAACCCAAGTCCTGAGGGAGAGACCAGTGAGAGAGACCAGAGACAGAGACCAGAGAGAGGGAGAGAGGGACCAATAGTGAGAGAGAGACAAGAGAGGGAAAACCAGACATTTTTATTTCATTCTTATAGAGTTGTATTATCTAAGATCATTTGATAATCATTAGATTCCCAACACCGCCACATTAGTCTGATCTTGTTACACCGTTATGACAGAAGCAACTGATATCAGCGTGGATAGCGCTAAACACAACTCCAGGTCCGTGACTGAAGAGGGACAATGTTGTAACAGCAGTATGGCAGCCTCACTGGGTCAAACTTCTGCTCCCACATACACCTGTAACAACTCCAACAGTTTTATTTTGACTGAGTTTGGGAGCGGCAGGAAAACCACACCAAGACTTGGCTTTGGGAGAAGGATTCTGGAAGAGCGGAGCGGGAGGAAGTGAGAGGCTGGAATAACAGAGGACCAGGTGGGCCAGGACCGGGCTGAACCAGGGTTAAACAAGCACCAGGGATTTATGAGACCAGGAAGCACAGGGACATTAGTTAGTTAGTTAGTTAGCACATTATCAGTGACGTGAGAGAGAGAGACCAGAGAGAGAGACCAGAGAGAGAGACCAGTGAGAGAAGCCAGAAAGAGAGATAGACCAGAGGGAGAGACCAGAGTGTTCCCTCTCATTTCTCCCCACTGTTTTGGTGTTGTCCTTCCTTGCTGTTTTTTATGAACATTTCCTTCTATGGACCAATGGCTTCTATGTGTTTGTTATTGTTGCATTTGCTGTGTATGAACTGTTAAAATTCAAAGTTATCCCTTTCTTAGATCAGATTTGATTTATGTTTAGAATAAAATGGATTGTTTGTATGATAGTGCTTTCAAACTGATTATAACATGCCATAGTGGCTGTGTTAAGTTTATGTAGCGTGTGATCAATGCCACCACAACACCAGTCCAACAGCAATAGAAACAAAGCCTGACTTTAGTGACATCCCTGTGAGAATGTTTTGGTCGTCCAGAGAGCTGTCGATGCTGGACCTCGTTACATAAAGACAATTAGCAGAAATCGATTCTGAACAGTCTGTCACATGTCCATGTGTGTTCCATCCCCCATCCCACAAAAACATCTCCATGCTATTTCTCTGGTCTCCCTCTGGTCTCTCTCTCTCTTCTTTCTCTATCCACTATCTCTCTGATCTCTGGTCTCTCTCTCTCTCTCTCTCTCTGGTCTCTCTCTTCTCTCTCGCTGGTCTCTCTCTTCTCTCTCGCTGGTCTCTCTTTTCTCTCTGGTTTCAGCGTTCAGCAAATAGGGTCAAATGGTGACTCTTTGGGCGCTCTCTGTCTCACAAAGATTATAACAAGTTTTTTATTACAAGGAGATGCTGTGGTTTGCTTATGGTCGGCGTAACCAGTGTTCCATGGTATGTTATTGTGCTATGGTATGTTAGTGAACCATGGTATGTTATTGTGCCATGGTATGATAGTGCACCATGGTATGTTATTGTGCCATGGTATGATAGTGCACCATGGTATGTTATTGTGCCATGGTATGTTAGTGAACCATGGTATGTTATTGTACCATGGTATGATAGTGCACCATGGTATGTTATTGTGCCATGAGATGTTGTTTGGTTGCCTTCAGGAATGATCCAATATCACTTCATTGGTCAAAATTATGTGAAAAGCCTGTAGAAGCCTAGAGTGCACGTTGATTTTTAATTACACTTTGAAGTCTTAATTAATAAAGCAAAGTCATTTTCACCAGAGTTTCAGCTGGTGGTGTGCCATGGAAAAGGTGTGCCACGGCTCAAAACCTTTGGGGAGCACTGGAATAGACGATTTGAAACTGCAAGTAATGATCTTTTGAACAGGATTACAACCTCAAAACTACAAAAGTAGTAGCAGGATGCCACATTTATGCTGGTATGTACTGGTCACGTAATTGGTCTGTGAGGCTAATGGCTAAACTCCTCAATACTCTCTCTCTTGTCTCCATCTTGTCTCTCTTTGGTCACTCTTGCATCTCTCTTGTCTATCGCTGGTCACTCTCTCTTGTCTCTATCTGGTGACTCTCAACTATCTCTGGTCACTCTCTTTGTCTCTCTCTGGTCACTCTTGCCTCTCTCTGGTCACTCTCTCTTGTCTCTCTCTTTGTCTCTCTTTGGTCACTATCGCATCTCTCTTGTCTCTCTCCGGTCACTCTTGCCTCTCTCTGGTCACTCTCTCTTGTCTCTCTCTGGTCACTCTCCGCATCTCTCTTGTCTCTCTCTGGTCACTCTTGTCTCTCTCTGGTCACTCTCTCTTGTCTCTCTCTAGTCACTCTCGCATCTCTCTTGCCTCTCTCTGGTCACTCTTGTCTCTCTCTGGTCACTATCGCATCTCTCTTGTCTCTCTCTGGTCACTCTTGCCTCTCTCTGGTCACTCTCTCTTGTCTCTCTCTGGTCACTATCGCATCTCTCTTGTCTCTCTCTGGTCACTCTTGTCTCTCTCTGGTCACTCTCTCTTGTCTCTCTCTGGTCACTCTCGCATCTCTCTTGTCTCTCTCTGGTCACTCTTGTCTCTCTCTGGTCACTCTCTCTTGTCTCTCTCTGGTCACTCTCGCATCTCTCTTGTCTCTCTCTGGTCACTCTCGCATCTCTCTTGTCTCTCTCTGGTCACTCTTGTCTCTCTCTGGTCACTCTTGCCTCTCTCTGGTCACTCTCTCTTGTCTCTCTCTGGTCACTCTCGCATCTCTCTTGTCTCTCTCTGGTCACTCTTGTCTCTCTCTGGTCACTCTCTCTTGTCTCTCTCTAGTCACTCTCGCATCTCTCTTGCCTCTCTCTGGTCACTCTTGTCTCTCTCTGGTCACTATCGCATCTCTCTTGTCTCTCTCTGGTCACTATCGCATCTCTCTTGTCTCTCTCTGGTCACTCTTGTCTCTCTCTGGTCTCTCTCTTGTCTCTCTCTGGTCACTCTCGCATCTCTCTTGTCTCTCTCTGGTCACTCTTGTCTCTCTCTGGTCACTCTCTCTTGTCTCTCTCTGGTCACTCTCGCATCTCTCTTGTCTCTCTCTGGTCACTCTCTCTTGTCTCTCTCTAGTCACTCTCGCATCTCTCTTGTCTATCTCTGGTCACTCTTGCCTCTCTCTGGTCACTCTTGTCTCTCTCTGGTCACTATCGCATCTCTCTTGTCTCTCTCTGGTCACTATCGCATCTCTCTTGTCTCTCTCTGGTCACTATCGCATCACTCTTGTCTCTCTCTGGTCACTCTTGCCTCTCTCTGGTCACTCTCTCTTGTCTCTCTCTGGTCACTATCGCATCTCTCTTGTCTCTCTCTGGTCACTCTTGTCGCTCTCTTGTCTCTCTCTGGTCACTCTCTCTTGTCTCTCTCTAGTCACTCTTGCATCTCTCTTGTCTATCTCTGGTCACTCTTGTCTCTCTCTGGTCACTCTCGCCTCTCTCTTGTCGCTCTTGTGTCTCTCTAGTCACTCTTGCCTTCGTCTTGTCTCTCTCTAGTCACTCTTGCCTTCGTCTTGTCTCTCTCTGGTCACTCTCGCCTCCGTCTTGTCTCTCCCTGATCTTTTGAACAGGATTACAACCTCAAAACTATCAAATTTGAGGCAGGACGCCACCTTTATGACTCTTATGTCTCAAAATCCCTCTCTCTCTCCCTACAGCCTGTAATACCACCTTGTCAATGCACACACAGATTACACAACCGCTTCCAATCACAAGTTCACGACCCACACGGCTAGGTGCGCATTTCCAGGCTACATTTATCGCACGCAGTTGCAAAAAAACAGCCTCCAACATGAAACTGTAGCATGAGCAAGGTTACAGTGAGCTATTGTGGACGGAGAGAAGACCGTGAATATGTCCATTGTAGTGGTCTGAATGCTGGTATGTACTGGTCATGTTGGGTAATTGGTCCGTGAGGCTAATGGCGAAACTCCTCAATACTCTCTCTCTGTTTCCGTCTTGTCTCTCTCATCACTATCTCTAGTCTCTCTCTGTAGGTCTCTCTCCCTGCTCTTTTGTCAATCTTACTGGTCTTTCTGGTTTCTCTCCCAGATCTCTCTTGCTCTCTCTGGTCCCTCTCTTTTCTCTCTCTCTGATCTCTCTTGTCTCTGTCTGGGGCATGCCCCGGTGATCCAAGATGTGGTCCTCTTCAAATCAATGGCCTGTGCTCAGTAGTGCATGGAACATTGATGGGGACCAAAAGATCAGCGGTGCTCGCCTATTTGGGCATCGTCTGGTCGTCTCGGTTCTGCGCAGTGGACGAGCTCCAATGATGCTTTGGGCCAAAAACGCGTGTGTGGTTCTCATGCACGTGCACAGAGGGGCTCGGCCGCGCTTTGACCAATCAGAGCGAAGTTAGAGCAGAAAGAAAACCAGCAGAGTTTGTTGCAATAAAGTGTGGATTTATAGAAAACCAAAGGATTTCACGCGAAAGAAAAGTTCAGGTTGAGAAGGGACACTTAAATCCCCACAAAATCCGACCTTTGTGAAAGCTGTAGGTTGAGCTGTTTTAGTTTACATTGAGTTCTATGGGATACAGTATATTTCTGGGTAGCCCATGTGAATTTAGTTTGTATTACAGGTGCCCGCTGTGCCCATTGGTGGGACAACCCTAAGCTAGTAATATCCTATCCAGATATTGTTATAGATCCATGGTCTGGGATCTCTATCTTGTGTCTCTTGCTCTCTCTCTCTCTCTGATCTCTCTTTCTCTATGGTCACCCTGCAATCACATGCCTGCAGTGAATATGTCCATTGTAGTGGTCTGAATTCTGGTATGTACTGGTCATGTTGGTAATTGGGCCGTGAGGCTAATGGCAAAACTCCTCAGTACAGCCACAGTTCTTGTTCGACAGACGACAATAATGACATTCACACACAGGAAGGAGAACGCGCTTCTATTCTGCCTTTAGGATTATAAGTATATATTTATTGTTGATGTTGTGTGTATTGGATGGGTGCGTTTCTGCTGCTTCTCTTGCTGTTCTCTCTGGTCTCTCTCTCTTGAACATAACTGATCTCTCGCACCTCTCTTGTCTGTCTTTTATACATCTCTCTCACTCTGGTCTCCCTCTCTTGTACCTGTCACACTTGTCTTGTACCTGCTCTGCTTCATGCATGTTTGAGTAATTTCTCCTCTCTTACATCTGTCACGATTGCTCTTCCATCCACAGGTTTCTCATACAGCAGCACAGAGCACAGTAGTTGTCTCTGGTCCATAACGTGTTGTTGCATGATGTCTGCATGATGTCAGCCTGCTAAATAAACACGACACGGAGACCACATGCAAAGACGGGGAATTTCTGCTATTTTCGGAGCGTTTTTGGCTCAGAACCACGACATACTGTGAGTAATGAGCTCCAACCACACAAACACAGAAGCAGCTGGACTTTTTCTATTACATACTTTGATAATTGCCCTTTCATAATATTTACACATAATTAATTATAAAAAAAGTTATATAATTTACAACTTTTTATTGTACAAAATATATACTGCACAGAATATATGTTTTACCTTTAATATGTTTGCATGTCTGTCTTTTGCACAACCTGAGGGATTCTACTGTATCTATGCTAAATCCATAAAGTCTGTCTTATCTTATCATGGAATAAATACTTATTTTTGAAAATAAAAATTTAATTCTTCTCCAATTCTCTCATATGATTTATTTCTTATTGATTATTATTCAATATTTTCAGAATAGACCTACTTTTTAACACTAATGCATTTTTTTGACAGGATGGAGACAGAGCCATAGGTCTCTCTTTGGGTTCTCTTTGGTCTCTCTTTGATCTCTCTCACAAAACTAACATTGTCAGAGCAAATGCCCCATAAAAGGAAAACCGGCTCCAGCTATCTTATGTTCAAATCAGCTTCTTCCACATTAAAGCTAACACCATGGTGACGTCACACACTGCCAGTCCCTTTCCAAGGAAGATTTAAATCAGTAAAAGAGGAGGCGATACTTTTGTTTTAAACGGCAGGAAAAAAAGTTTTCTCAAAAATGTAACGAGTTTGAAAATAGAAGGTACTGACTGAAGGGGAGGGGGATGTGTTTGTGCTAGGGGTTCTAATAACAGTGAGAATATATAAAAAAAAGGTCCATATCTATGTCTGAAGAGGTAAAAAACAGGATTAAAAAGTAATTTCATTTATCATTTAAAACAATGTTATTAAATACACTTAGCGGTATTGCCAAAGTTAAAATTCAAATATTTCACACACAAAAAGAACACATAAATGAGTAGAATTCTTGGAAATATTGGCTCCGGATACAGAATATTTGGCTTGTTCGCTGTGGCGTGTCCCAAACGAGACGCAGGAAGTCATTAAGAAGTTTGGTCAGTGACATAACGTGTTGCTCCTCAGTCTGTGGTGATGTCAGCCTGCGAATCAAGGGAAAAAAGGGGAATTTCTGCTATTTTCTCTGCGTTCTGTGACACATAGAAAGCTATTTGAGATTCTAACAACGCTGCAGCTTGTCATTTGTCGCCTATAGCAGCCTGCAGACCTGTTATCTTGCCTAATTTCTCCGACCGCATCACAAAAACCTGGGATTAGCCGTGGTTTTTCACCTGCTCAGCGCTTGCAGAGGCTGTGATGTCATCTGAAACCAGGCAATTTCCTCTTTTTACGAGCTATGCCAACTATGCGCACAATGACTCCAGAGCACGATCCCGGTTCTCCAGGCTTTCAGTGTTGACAATGAGTGGAAAAAACTCAAAAGATTTAAAGCCCCCCAACCCTTCTGTATAAATGCTGTGCTTTGAACACATAAGAGCTGTCCATGTTTGACAATAGCTGGACATTGTGGCAGATATTAGGAAGCAAATGACAAGAGTGAGTCCCTGAGTGACCAGACAGAGAGAGACAGGAGAAAGAGACCAGACATTAGACTGGTAAACTAGACTGACAGAGTGTGACATCACCATAGAGTTAGCCATAGACGGACATTTATTCAACTCTCTATGGACCAATGGCTTCTATGTGTTTGTTATCGTTGCATTTCCTCTGATAACTGCTGTTGTGATTCAGGGTTACAAAAAATGAATCGAATTGAAGAGCCTAAATGCGGAAGAGGCAGACTTCCGCATAAAGCAAATGTTATCTTATCTTGAACATACATGTAAGTTATCTGGAGCTGATTTACTTCTTTTGGAATTTGTTTTTATTTTTTTCTTGTTAAATCCTTTGGTTTTCTATAAATCTGTAGTGCAACAAACTCTGCTTGTTTGGCTCCCACTCTGATCAGCAGCTCTGATTGGTCAAAGCGCGGCCGAGCCCCTCTGTGCACGCGCATGAGAGCCACATATGCGTATTTGGCGCAACGCATCATGGGAGCTCGTCCACTGCGCAGAACCGGGAGGACCAGACGATACCCAAATATGGACGAGTTCCGCTAATCTTTCGATCTTCCTGTATGTCCCATGTGCTCCTGAATACAAGCCACTGATTTGAATAGGGCGCCATCTTGGATCATCAGGCCTCGGGTAAAGCCGGGAAATTCTTCACATTGATACAAGTTCCTGACATTAGCAGGAATTAAGCTAACACCAAATCCTAGTCTGTACAGATTTGAATATTATGTCTGAATTAAAGCAGCCTGTATTTGTTCTTCCCTTAAATATGTGATTGATTTTAATATTAGGAAGCAACATAATCGGCTCGAAGGAAAGAACAAGAGTGGATGGAAAAGCAGGGCAGATGTTTGGTTCGTCCATGCCAGATGTGGGAGAGTGTTTTCCACTGGTCTCTATCTGACCTGGTCCAACCCAAAAACATGACATTTACACACACAGGTGTAGAGAGGCAAGAGCACAATACTTCTACAAACACTATTACTGTAACTCTAAGAAACTCTTGGTACTTTAAGTAATTTAACAACTGAAAAACCAGTCACAGTAGAGCAACTATTTTGACTCTTGGGAATAGGCCTAATTGGCTGAGTGACAATGCACTGAAAAAAATATGAAAAAGTAATTTTTTTTGTTTTGAAAAACACTCTCCGGTCATATTTGACCAACACGTATCACCAGAATGATCAATAGCCCTGATGATCCACACGGAAGTAGAACATCCTCCTATAGACCTTTAAGATAAAAACTTCAAGCAATTACCTAAAATTGTTTAATTCATTGCAGTGTGGTCATTCTTTTTTCTGTCCGAAAAAGTGATGCCGTGAATTAGTGACAGAAGCAACTTTAGAGTCAGAAACTATAGCAACATGGATTTTACAACATTATTTTTGAGGTTTCAAAGTTAGGTACTCCAGCTTTAAAAGGATGCACAGCTATTGTTTTCTGGAGAAAAAAACAAAAACAAAACGTGCGACCAGAGAGAGCATCAAGAGAGAGAGAGGGACAAGAGAGAGCGAGACCAGAGAGAGAGAGACCAGAGAGTGAGACCTCTGAACGAATCACCACAGTGTACACAATTGGGTGGGTGTGGTGAACCAGGAGTACCACAAGGCCGTGTTCTGGACCCAAAGATATTCTAATAAAGGACCAGTATTGTAACATAGATTTTTTTTTACTTTTTAGTCTCTCTCTAAAGAGAGAAAGAGAGAGAGAGAGAGAGAGAGAGCGACTGCTTCTCTGTGGTAAAATCCTTCCAGACTTTTGAGATCTGGAAACCACGACGCACCACACCCCAAACGACGCCAAGAATGCAAAGGCTTACTCTCATTTCCTGGAGAGAAGCAAGAACTCAAGAACTCTACTTTATCCCACTGCAAAGTCTCTGTATCCCTCTGGTCTCACTCTCTCCCTCTGGTCTCTCTCTCTGGTTCCTCTCTCCCTCACTCTGGTCTTTCTCTCGCTCTCATCTGTGACCAGCTTCAAACCACAGTTCACATATGGTTATACAGTATATTAATTAAATCTAACACCAAACAGCTTGAACCAAGCTACAACATGAGAGACCAGAGAGAGACCAGAGAGAGACCAGAGAGAGACCAGAGAGTGACCAGAGAGAGACCAGAGAGAGACCAGAGAGAGACCAGAGAGAGACCAGAGAGAGTCCAGAGAATCCAGAGAGAGAAAAGAGAGAGAGGTAAATACTAAATACAGTTATAAAAAAACATTAAGACAAATCCACTCTGACGTCATTTTTAAAACAAAAGTATTGCCCTGCACACTTTTTATTCTATTCTAACTTTACAGCTTTTCACACACTTTTTGACCTCGATAGCAGCAAATCACAATAGAAAGCACTGTTTTTCTTCATTTGTGCAAAAATGGCTGGGCCATGGTGTTATGAACACATCACGTAAACATCAGAATACATATTTGAGAATGTTTCTCACAATATGTTTGTTATGTTTGTCAATGTCCTGTTTGAACCTACTGAATATTAAACTTATGTTGTTGTGGTTCAGAGTTCTGAGTCTCGCAGCTGCTGAGACGAGATGAAGACGAGAATATTGTTGTTGTGGTCATTTTTACACTATGATGTTGGAGTATAGTATGTAGTATTAAACCATACTATTATTTTATAATTTTGTTAACATGGCCCAGATTAAACAGAAGCAGGTGATGGAGCTGAGGCCCTGAACCTGTTTGTGATCACTGTGATCACTCTGATACCTGAGTAGTACTCTGATACCTGTGTAGTATTCTAATACCTGTGTAGAACTCTGATACCTGTGTAGTACTCTGATCAATGTATAGTACTCTGACACCTGTGATGTACTCTGATACCAGGAGCCCGTCGGCGGCAGTTTGCACTCCCCGGGTGTATGTGATGAGGCACGTGCACGTGGCAGCGGGTGGTGATGCGCGTGCACGTACCTGCCTGGTGAAGAGGATGGCGGCGTCGTGGTGCTGCGCGTGCTCGTCGTGCGCGGCGTTGTGTGCGTGTTGCCACCTGCAGAAGCTCTTGAGCGTCGCGGCCGCGTTCTTGCTGACGTCCAGTCCGCGCTCCTTCTGCGTCACGGTCATGACGTTGACCACGGACAGACGCACTGGGTTCTCGATGCTCGCGTGGCCGTAGAGTTTGGACGCAATGGATGCGAGTGTCAGGAGGTAGTGACGTAGCTCTTTCCCGTACTTCTGCGTCATGGACTCGTCCGCGACCAGCAGCAGCTCCACGTGCCGCGCTCTGGACACGGAGCGTCTGCCGCGCGGCACAGGAGCGGCAACAAACTCACTCCATCTGTTCCGCGCGACAGGAGCGCCAGACACGGCATGAGCGCGTGCAGCGCGTCTGTTCTTCCTCCGCCGCGCGTGCCTGCGTCCTCTGCGTGAGTCCCTTGTGCCACAACTTTCCCGCGCGTCCCGAGCCGCTTCAAAGCTGAAGCTCTCGCGCGTGTACACGTGCAGTGCGCGCTCAGCGTCCCTGTCCTGCAGCGCACGCGCGTCATGCTCGTGCCCTGTGGCGCGCACTATAGGAGTGATGGAGTAGCGCGCGTGCTCCACCGCGAAGTATCCCTCGAGGCCCCCTCCGCACAGGTTCAGCACCGCGAGACTCTCCGCGCGGGAGTCCACCGTGCCCCGGTACGCGCACTCCCGCGGCACGGGTGCGTGCACGCGTTGCAGCTCGTCCCGCTCCAAGTCCAGTTGGAAACGCGTGCCGTCCATGTACAGCAGGTACCCCACCCTCCCTCCGCCGTGGTAGATCCGGTCTATGGTCCGCACCACGCCGTCCGTCCTGCGCGCGGGCGCGGACTCGTTAACGGGCGGCAGGTAGAAGCCCTGGAACGTGACGCCCGCCGCGATCTCCATCAGCAGCAGCAGCAGCAGCAGCCGCGGCATGGTTCACCGCGCACGCGTCAACAGAACGGACTGTCCGCTGCAGCGCTCCATACAGACTCCTCTTGGCGTGAGCGACACGGCTCCGAGCGGCGCTGCCTCAAACTACAACAAAACAAAGTTTGCTCCTGATACAAACGGCATAGGCACCGCCCCCTGGGTGGACCGCCTCCTCTGCTCCCTCACCGCCTCCGAGTCAGAGGAGCAAGAGACAGGACTGAGGAGACAGAGGAGGTGCAGGCTGAGCCATGTGGGACTGTCCACTTCAGGCTGACCTCTAAATCCACAGTCCTGTCGCATTTCTCCTTAGCCCTGTCTCTGTCCTCTGTCTCAGTCCTCTGTCTCTGTCCTCTGTCTTCTGTCTCTGTCCTCTGTCTCTATCCTCTGTCCTCTGTCTCTGTCCTGTCCTCTGTCCTCTGTCTCTGTCCTCTGTCTCAGTCCTCTGTCTCTGTCTCAGTCCTCTGTCTCAGTCCTCTTGTCTCTGTCCTCTGTCTCAGTCCTCTGTCCTGTCTCTGTCTCTGTCCTCTGTCCTGTCTCTGTCTCTGTCCTCTGTCTCAGTCTCTGTCTCTGTCCTCTGTCTCAGTCTCTGTCCTCTATCCTCAGTCCTCTGTCTCAGTCGCATGTTGTTGCATAATGATTCTAACTTTCCACTTTTCTGCTGCTGAATAATTGAAGCCTCAGTGGAACATTCATACACACTTCATGAGAACAGCAGCACGAGGACTCTCAGCACAATATCACACTTTTTAACCTGAGACCAGCAAGAGACCAGAGAGACACGAGAGAGAGACCAGAGAGAGGGAGAGAGAGACCAGAGAGAGAGATGCCAGTGAGACACCAGAGAGACACCAGAGAGAGACCAGAGAGAGACCAGAGAGACTATGCCAGTGAGACACCAGAGAGACACCAGAGATAGACCAGAGATAGACCAGAGAGAGACCAGAGAGAGACCAGAGAGAGACCAGAGAGAGACCAGAGAGAGACCAGAGAGAGACCAGAGAGAGACCAGAGAGAGGGAGAGAGAGACCAGAGAGACTATGCCAGTCAGACACCAGAGAGACACCAGAGAGAGACCAGAGAGAGCCCAGAGAGAGCCCAGAGAGACACCAGAGAGAGACCAGAGAGAGCCCAGAGAGACCAGAGATGCCAGAGAGAGAGAGAGAGAGAGAGAGACGAGAGACCCACTGTGATGTCACATGCGAGATCATAAAACACAGCGACAGCTCCAGACCTGCTCCATCTGCTGACTCACACACAGATTTAAAGCTCGGGGACATCATTTTCAAACCACAACAATAGAACAATTATTTAAAACCCATGTCTGTAAAACACGCTTCTCTCACAAGTTTCATGTGTTTCTTGCTCTCTGTCACATCTTCAGATCCAGATTTTTCAGACGGAAAAGTGACAAAGAGAGGACCGCCCTCACTCGGCCAATCAGCTGTCATTACTGTATGTATCAAATAAGACACAAGCCAATATTGACAATTAGTTTTTCCTTATACCGACTATTTCAGCAACAGACGTGCTTTAGATAATTACTTAGCTTACTTAACTTACTTGTCTTACTGCAATTAATGTGACATCACAGCGTTCCAACGAGCCCATAGATTCACATTGTGGTGAAACTATGGGCTCTGGTAACTAGAATGAAAAGTTTGAAGGTAATTTCAACTCAAAATGTCACACATCTACTCTGTCAGCACATATCTACTGTCTCTCTCTCTCTCTCTATTTCTCTGGTCTCTCTTTGGTCTCTCTCTGGTATCTCTGTTCTCGCTTTGGTCTCTTTCTTTGGTCTCTCTCTGGTCTCTCTCTTTGTCTCTCTCTGGTCTTTCTCTGGTCTCTTTCTGGTAGCTCTCTCTGTTATCTCTCTGGTATCTCTGTTCTCACGTTGGTCTCTCTCTCTCTGGTCTCTCTATAGCACACACAAACCCTCGTCCTTGTCCGCATTTTTAAGCAGAATATGAGACGGTGGTTTTGTGTTTCAGTGTATTGTCTGCAGATCCCGCCGGCTGTGTGGGCTTGTGTTGTAGTATTTAGAGTTGTAGTGATTATAGCAGTAGTATTTAGAGTAGTAGTAATTATTGTAGTAGTGTTTAGAGTAGTTGTAACAGTAGTTGTAGTAATTATAGTAGTGCAAAATGGAGGCTTAGAGAGGATGAGGAGGAACTGGAAGCACGACCAAATAAGGAGCGGGTTAGGTGCTGTAGTTCACAATGTTCTAACGCTGTTTGTGTTTAATAAAAGTTTAGCAGCAGTAGTGGTAGGGTTTGTAGCAGTAGCAGCAGTAGTAGAAGTAATTGCAGTAGTAGCTGTAGTAGTAGTGGTAGTAGTAGTAGCAGCAGTAGCAATATAGTGGTAGCAGTAACAGTAGTAGTAGTAATAGTAGTAGTTTTATAGCAAAAACTAAACATTTCAGGACATAGTTCCATGTTTAGCGGTTGTAAAGTTACGTACCTCAGCTTTAAGTGGTGTTTTCTCTGAGCCTCTGGCGTCTGTGCGTCCAGGAGCCATAGGAACCTCCACAGTTTGGTGTAAAACCAGAGAGAGGCCCCTATAGGGAGTCTCCAACCACAGACCAACTGGACCTGGTTTAGTCCTGCTTTAGTCCTGCTTTAGTTCTGCTTTAGTCCTGCTTTAGATCCGCTTTAGTCCTGCTTTAGATCCACTTTAGTCCTGCTTTAGATCCGCTTTAGTCCTGCTTTAGATCCGCTTTAGTCCTGCTTTAGACCTGCTTTAGACCCCTGCTTTAGATCTGCTTTAGTCCTGCTTTAGACCTGCTTTAGTCCTTTTTCAGACCCCTGCTTTAGTCCTGCTTTAGTCCTGCTTTAGACCTGCTTTTGTCCTGCTTTAGATCTGCTTTAGTCCTGCTTTAGACCTGCTTTAGTCCTGCTTTAGACCTGCTTTAGTCCTTTTTCAGATCTGCTTTAGTCCTGCTTTAGATCTGCTTTAGTCCTGCTTTAGACCTGCTTTAGTCCTTTTTCAGATCTGCTTTAGTCCTGCTTTAGACCTGCTTTAGTCCTGCTTTAGATCTGCTTTAGTCCATCTTTAGTCCTGCTTTATTCTCTGCTTCAGACTAGGGCACACATGCTCTAGTTAACACACTTCCATAAGACACATAATGAAGGGTGTTATTTTTTATTTTTTAAGGACTGGATCTGTATGATATAGCGATGTACTTAAAGCTGTGGTACCTAACTTTCAGACCACAACAATAGAACCATGTTTCTAGTTCCTGGCTCTAAAACAGCTGCTTCTGTCTCTAGTTTAATGTAGGTCTGGCCTCTGTCACGTCTTTAAACAAGCTTTTTCAGACAGACAAGTTTGAAAGTTTCCTCACTCAGCCAATCAGCTCTCAGCCCAAAGAGTCAAATAGTAACTCACAGGGATCTTTCTTACACAAAAATATCATGTATTTGAATCAGCCTCTTTCAGTTGGAAGATAAGACTAAATTATGACGTTTCCAAAATAAGTTAGTCTTTAGTTTAACAGAGAACACTCCATTTACAAGGAGTATTACGCATTGGGAGTAAGCTGCTTCTCCTACTTTCAGACACAGACACAGGTTGATTTAAGATGAAAAAGTCTCAAATGTGGCCCTACTTTAGACACGGCTCGATCCTGGTTTAGTCTCGGCTCTAAGGTTGCATGAGACCGTCTCTGCTCAAATGCCAACCGGGCTCGGATCTGGTCTAGTCCGGGTCTAGTCCAAGTTTTAGTCCAGAGTTGAGAGTGAGTGAGAGACTTTTTACATGTGTGAGAAAGAGCCCTGTGAGCCACTATTTGACTCGTTGTGCTGAGATCTGATTGGCTGAGTGAGGGCGGTAGTATTTTATCAGTGTAAACATGAAGCTGCTACATCCCACTTCAACAAGAGCTATTCTGAAACTTCCTCTCTCCTCATCTCTCTCTCCTACCTCTCCTCTCTCTCCCTTCTCCTCCCTCTCTTCCCATCCCTCCCCTCCCCTCTCTATTCTCTCTCCCCCCGCTCCCTCGCTTCTCTTAGATCTGTTCTAATCCCATCCTCACTGCCAGCTCAGACCATATGGACAGCTACACCCTCTCCTCTCTCTCTCTCTTCACTCCTCTCCTCCTTCTCACTCTCTCGTCTCTCCTCTCTTCTGTCTCTCTCTCGCTCTGGTCCTGATCACGTGCAGAATCATCATGAAGGAGGCTTGTGCTGGAGCCACGTGTTCAGAATCCAATATGGTTTAATTGACAACAGTTTATGTAACAGCAGCAGAAGAACACAGAGCACCATGACTGTGTGTTTGTTATTATTGCATTTTCAGTATTCGAATCCTGTTTGATTCTCTGATCTGTTTTGCAAAGTCTGTGGAGACTGCTGCTGTGATTCAAGGAAATACACAAATACATTTAATTTAATTGTACAGATGTAATTCTAAAGCTGTTTGCACCTGTCCGACTTGGCTCTACCCTATACCTTTTCTTACCCTAGAGTAGTTATTCTACTCTACCTGGTTGTTTTTGAATTACTCTAGTATCTGGTTCTGTTTTCTAGCCACCTACCCACAACAAACCAGTATCAGTGGAAATTCCTAGGTAACCATGGCGTCCAGCTGCACTCTGGCCAATCACTGTCAGTTAGACTTTATTACCAGTTCGAGTAAAGTGGAGTAAAACTATTTGGTCGAATAGAGGCAATACTTTAGTTTTAATGCGGCAGAAAGCAGCTTGACGTCATAGTGTAAAAGGAAATGAGACAGAAAGATCTCAATAGAATTTATTGTAGTTGTTTTGTCTGCAGTATTTGTGCAACATTGAGACTTCTTCAGTATATTCAGTCAAGAATATCTGCTGTTCATGTGACATCATCGGCAACTTCCAAGGAGCCTGTAGTTTCTCACTTATTCCTGGAACATTCTCTCTCTCTGGTCTCTTGTCTATGATTGCTCTCTCTCTCTGGTCTCTTCCTCTCTTTCAGTCTTTCCATACATAAAACCTTCCTTCGAAATCATTCAACAAGACAAAGTTTGCAATAAAATTCCATAAACATTTATTTTTTATAATAGAAAACAATGAAACGAGTAAATAACAGATCGACACAGATCATATATTCATATTTGTCTGAAGCTCACTACAGCAGTTAGTAATCGTTATTGCATGGTTATGTAAACAAAGGCATTTAACATTAGAAGAACGTTCACATAATTTAAAAACAACTTAAGAGACGTTTGCTTCAGGGCTTCATGTTTCACGCTGTCATTTATACACATGTGGTTAAGTTTCTAACTGCAAAGTTATAAATATAAAATAATGCATGGACTTGTTTCTCAATCACGTACTTGCATAATAACACTCTAATTCGTCAAATCAACCATTTTGAAGCTGTACAAAAATATATTAAAATGGTTTTGAGTATTTTTCTTCTACACCAGATAAATACTATAAATATTGTATACATTCAATAAATTTACTGTTCTCTAACAGTGTGTAAGATTGTACCTGAAGTTCCTGAAATAAACTGAATTCATGCTTGGTGGGAATTGACAGTTCAATAGTTTTGCGATCTATTTGGGCCACAGTTCAATATTATTGTGATTCATTTCTGCGATACATTGTGACTCATGATGCTCATATTATTCAAAGACACAAAATAATTCATAATGGTCTGACATTCACTGAAATGGAGAAACAACGCACACGCAAAAAGCACTGCCATCTTCTGGATGTAATACGCAAATGAAAAATTACCAGAGTAAACTCAGAGAAAACAAAATTGAAAGAGATAAATAATAAAATATTGCGATACTGAACAGAATTCTCCCACCACTAGATGTTATTACATTTGTCTGGTGTAGAATGTAGAACCAAATAACAGAATAAGAGACGAGTACTTCAGTGATAGCTAACCAGAGCTAATGCTAAAAGTAACATGAAGCCCCGTGTTCACTGCATAATGAGAACCACTGCACATTTGCCGTTGAAACGACTTAAAATATGAAACATAAAAAGATACATAAAAAGATGTCCGACTCATAGAATCGTGAGGCTGAACAGCTCAGTGCTGTCTGTCCGAGTCAGCTCAGACAAACGGAGGAAAGCCAACTCGCACCAGAGCTAACAAAGCTATAACGCCCCATTTCCACCAGTCCTCCCCCTGCTCTTACTCTCTTTACTCTCACTGGCCGTGTTTAGTCTCTCTTGGTCCTGGTTCTATCCAGGCCCAGCTGGTACTAACGTGATTGACCAGAGTGCTGCTGAAAACAACAGTGTCCATGGATTCATCATTTAGGATATGGTACCAGATGCTCAGGTGGAGTAGAGGAGAGGCAGTGGAAACGGGGCTTTCAAGATTAGAGACAATAAGTGAACTAGTCTAAAAAGCAGAAATGTCAGAGTGAGCTTTGGGAGGTTTTTTTGTCTTTGGCGACAGAAACAGCTTCCAAAAAGAGGGAATAATTCAAGTATTGCTTCTTTGTACAAAAAAAAAAGGGTTTCAAGTATGAGAACTGTTGTTGTGAAGGAGACAGATTGTGCGTTTATGTGAAATGTGGATCTGTGTGTGTGTAAAAGTGTTAGAAGTGTGTTATCTCTTAGTGTTGGCAGCAGACGTTGCTGTTATTTGACGTTATCCTCCGGCTCACATTTACAAACATGTGCTTTAATATGCTGTTACAGCCACAAACATCTGAACAAAGAGCAGCTTCTCACAGAGACGCCACAAAGTCCTCAACGCCAAAACACCAACACCGTCGTCAGAGCTGTTTGAGACCAGATTATGATGCAGAATATGAAGAGGTTAAAGGCAAAACTGGTCTGGATTAGAGCTGGGACTGGGTTGGCCAATAGAACAAATACAATAACTCGAACATGATTGACATGAAGCTAAAGCTGGTTGGTCCATTTGGAAATTCTTTAAGAATGTTTAAATGTATTGCAACCAAGATAAAATATCTCCTCATTCATCGTAGCACACACAAATGTAGACTTTATCTCAGCGGACTCCAGAGAAAGGTTGGAGACCCCTGAGATCGAGCAGTCTGCAGCCGACAGGTCAGACTCAGGCTCCAAGGATTTTCAATTATTATTATTATTAACTTGCAGCATTGATGGTAATGGCTGATCTATTTTCTCTGGAAAACAACAAAAATCTAAATATTCTGAACATTTAACCAACACTACACAATAAAACTGTGTTAAACTTGTGTTGTATGGTCCAGTTTTGTTTTACAATTTATTTGGTTGGCACAGTGCAGTGACCACACCAGACATGGGGAGAACATACAAACTCCACTCAGAAAGAACCAGCTTCATCCGGGATTCAAACCCAGGACATTCTTGCTGAGAAGCAACAGTGCACTCAGCCACTGTGCCGCCCCAACTGGTTAAATATAAAAAACAGTTATAAACCAGTTTGACCAGTATTTTTTGTTTGTTTGACAGCCCTGGTCTACAGAGTAAGAAGATAATTCTCAGTCTTCTTCATTGGTAAACATTCATCTGCTGTTTGTTCTGTTGCGGCTCACATGATCTATCTCTATCTCTATCTCTATAGATAGATAGATATCTATCTAGATAGATAGATAGATAGATAGATAGATAGATAGATATCTATCTATCTATCTATCTATATATATAGATATCTATCTATCTATCTATATATATAGATATCTATCTATCTATCTATATATATAGATATCCATCTATCTATCTATATATATAGATATCCATCTATCTATCTATATATATAGATATCTATCTATCTATCTATATATATAGATATCTATCTATCTATCTATCTATATATATAGATATCTATCTATCTATCTCTATATGTATATATATATAGACCTCTAGCTCGAGTCCAGACACTGCTAATGTTTAAAACGTGTAACAGTTAGGGCTAAAAGTGAAAATCAGAGGTAATGCATTCTAATCATTGCTTCAAATTCTGTCTCCATGTTCCCTGGGGCATTTCAGACAAGACAACTTATTTATGGTCATTCTGTGCCTTCAGACTGGTTTAGATTCTTCCTCTGGGGAAAATGTAGCCTGGTGGTACCACACCATTGTACAAATTTAATTTTGTACTAAGGTCTGTGTTTGCTCCACTGAGCTCCGTAAAACAGGTGGAAGGGTTAACTTCTTTGGCCAAACGATTGAATCTGAGTTTACAGTGACGTATGAAATGCGACTGAGTGAGTCGCTAGCATTTAGCCATTTTCTTTTGCCACAAAGGGAGCCTGTGGGGGTAGATCCACCAAATCTTTGACAGCAATTACATTTTCTAAACATTCTTCTTGCTCCGGCTTAAATCTCTTGACAGAACCAGACCGGAATACTTTACTATCGCATTCTTCACTATTGCCAAACTAAAACCAGTTAATTCGGCGCAAACTCTTGACGTCACCCACATCTAACTAGAACACCCGCCTCCTGCTCGCTGATTGGTCGGATGAGATTCAACCGATGTAATTGCAGACACTGGAACTAGACCCAGACGGTAAATGCAGGGAAATGATAATTGACCGTAGTTTACGGATGGCCAGGCCAGGCCAGGGAAAATGTAGTAAAATGGAGTTTTACTGTGGGACTTGTTTCAATGATTCATTTTAAATGGAATATTCTTGGGTTGAACCAGATCCCCCAGCACATGACTGAAGATGGGCACATTTCATCATTATATAAGCTAGTCCAAAAACAATAGTGTGTAATGTTCCGATTGTCTTCATGTAAAGAGTCTCTTCCTCTCATCCCATAACATGGGTCCAGTTTACAATTGGTCCGACAGATGCATTACCTCAAAGACCAAGCTTATCCAACACTTGTCCATAGGAGGCTTGAATATTTACACATTTCTTTAAACATGCTCCAATTGAAGCTTTTTTTTTTCCTTTCTTTTTATAAAACTTTAATAACATTCTTTTTGTACAGGCTCCTATCCTCAGTCTAATCTCTCGGGAAACTCAGGGGTTCAAAATGAGGTTTGAAGACAGTGTATAAAAGTGTGTTTCTGTGGATGTGGTGTTTTGGCTGCAGGACTCTCACATGTGAATGAAGAGGCATACTGAGGATGAGTTTGAACTGTTCTCATGAGGCCGGTTTCTCTGTGTGCGGCTCCTTCTCACTCAGAGGCAGTGCCAGGCTGTACGTGGTGTTTGCAAGTCTGAAGTCTGGAGACGGGTTACAGAGGCTCTGGAAACGCTGAGGAGAGAGAATGAATGCATGTAATATACACCAGTAACTAACTCTTCATTTGCCCTCACTCGTCTTATCACAGAACTGTTCCGTCAGTCGTGCTGCTGTTATCCCTGTTCTACAGAACCCTGGCTCATTTCTAATCTCTGCTATTGAGCTCTTCACTTGAACAGTTGGCACCACTGGCCAAGCCCTTTCCAGAGGGCTTTGCCAGATCTTCAGCGCACTTTCTTTCCAGCAAACGATAAATATTTACCCTCCTAAAACTGTCTAAACCAAATAAAATCCTGATACTCATACAGAAGTAGATTAATCCATCTTTAATCTGAAATTTGTGATTTTGTTATTTGCAGAAAAACACAATGGAATCCTCCCACAGTTAAAACCCTTTTGCTATCCCCGGGTCAAACTGTCCAGCCCTGGGTCATTTAGACCTTAATTTAAGTGTTTTTTTTTTCTATTTCTAAATCACTGCGGCGAGTCCTTTGACTGGAGGATAGTTCATCCACCACCTTCTGTTTCCTTACCCTAAGAATCTACAAACTGCAATCCTGCTTCTTACTCTCAAAGCCGCCACAACACATGACCCTACAGTATGTTCTACTGTTCATTCTAAACGTTGTATCTTTGGTAAAGAATCCTTGAGCACCCAGAAAGGTGGTGTATAAATAATCACACTGAATCTGCCTCCCCATGTTTAGTCCCGACTCTGGGACCAGCAGGAGGCCAGTCCCTGTGCTCCTCAGAGTTGGTTCATATCTCACAGTTGGACTTTAAACACATTCTGGTGAATACTTCCTGGTCCTACAGTTAAATGTGCTCTCCTGGTACCTGTCTTAATGTTCCTGGTGTGGTGAGCAGAGCGTACACGGCCCACGTCGGCAGCAGAATGACTGAGGACAGAGTGAGGATCCAGCCCAGAGCCGAGGCCCAGGGAGGAGCCACCAGACCCTTCCCCAGGACCAGAGGAGACCAGCGGATCAGGGAGAACACGAATGTGGCCTGGAGACAGACGCAGTATTCTCAGATTGCATTAAATGTGTCCTTTTCATGAATAAAGTCAGATTCTATGATCTTTACATTTGTGAGATCACATAGAGTTTGCAAAAATGTGACTATTCGATTGAATTGTGGCCCAAATATTGAAATTCACTTCCCCTCATATGATCTGCACAATAACTCAGATGTGCAGACACTTTATCCTTGAACATTCAGAACCTTAGAACAAGACACTAAAAAATGATTAAAGATGAAATGTCACAATATGTTACAGAATTCAGATTTGTTTCCTCCACTATTAAATGACTTTGTCTTGCACTGTTTGAGTCAGCCAGACAAAAACTCTTAACCCTTGTGCTACCCTCAGGTCTAAGTAATAAAAAGAAGAAAAATATACTAAATTAGGTCTAAATGACGAGTCAGTGTAGGAATGATCAAAATTCAGTATTTTCTAATAATTGCGGCGGGTCAGTTTCATCCGAGGAAAGCAACTACATGGAGGTCAGGAAGCAAAGGAACAAATACTGCACATTTCATGGCATGTGTATAAATAAATGGACAAAGTTTAAATTTAAACTGATTATTTCACACTCACACTCCCAGAGCCGTAACTTTGACTGCTCCCATTCAAACCAATGAATGTCTCCCAAAAATAGGTGTGCACCTTTACTAAGTGCTAAAAGAGTTTGTTGAACAGATACATTCTAATGGTGAACTCTGTTGCTTCAGAGGCCAATCATCACTCATTCTTCAAACATAGACGTTTAAAAAATAAAAGCTGTCATTTTGACTGCTCTGGGAGTTCTGAGGTGGATCACATGTGACCATGTGAATTATGAATGTTAGTAAAGAGCAGTGTAGCGCCGCCCTGCTGGCCACAGTGTGAGACTCACGGTGCAGACAGCGGGAGTGAAGTACTTCCAGCACAAGTCGAACACCTTCCATGGACTGTAGCCAATCATGTCTTTGATGTTGCCACGGAAACGCTGAGCTCCTGGAAACAGATGTTTTAATCTTTTGTTATAAATTGACTGATTGATGGTCTGTAGGGGCAGAGGCTCACACTTGGGATTTACTTCTCCAGGGGCCGCAAGGGACCGCTGCGTTGTGGTGTGAGGCAGGCGTGAGTATGACAGATCTGTGAGATCAGACTGGCCACATCCGGCAACAACAGCTGATAAGAGACGTAACACACCTTCACATGTCACCTTTGACGAAGGCAGAAGTCTACCGCCAAAACATGTCAGGTTATTAGGCGAGCTTTTTATTATTTTGTCTTATTAAAAGAACCTTCTACGCCTTAAAGTAAAGAGTGTTGAATTCACTTTCCTGCATGGTGCATCTGTTTTCACTAGCCCAATATTCTGTGGGTCTTGAAAATCAGTGAAATCATCAAAAATGGCTGGCGGTCAATGAGGAAGAGGCCGATCACAGAGCCATAAACCACAGATTTAACCCCACAATGGTGAGTGCGACACAAATGGTTACTGGTCCCTCTCTCTGATCGCTCTCTCTCTGATCGCTCTCTCTCTGATCACTCTCTCTCTGATCACTCTCTCTCTGATCACTCTCTCTCTGATCACTCTCTCTCTGATCACTCTCTCTCTGATCACTCTCTCTCTCTCTTTCTGGTCATTCTCTCTGGTCTCTCGCTCTCTCTCTGGTCTCTCGCTCTCTCTCTGGTCTCTCGCTCTCTCTCTGGTCTCTCTCTCTCTCTCTGGTCTCTGTCCATCTATATACAGTCTATGTTCCATTACAGTCTGACCAAACGATTAGATCCACTGTACACTGTGAGATTCAAACCAGATGGAGGTGAAGCTAACGGTTTCTTCAGATAAGACAAAGGGGACAGCAGTAGCAATATTCCAGTCTGGGCACAGAGCCAGACTCGGGGCCCCTCCATCTCCACAGGGGCCTCTCTCAGTGAGAGACCGGGGCCCGAAAAACAGTAATAATGAACATATTTGACCAGAGGAAGAACTGTGTGTGAAGTGTGGATCATTCAGAAGGACAGTTTTGTTATTAGAAGGTTTTGTACGCATTAGTATCTGGTACCGTATCCGTGGACTCTACCCACAACAAACCAGTATCCAGGGAAATGCCTTGGTAACCCTGGCTTCCAGCAGCACGCTAGTCAATCACGGAACACTTAAGTACCAGCTCTTCCTGGATAGAATCATGACCGAAAGGGACTTCTAAAGGACCTGGTACTGGTAGAACAGGACCAGTGGAAAATTCCCCCAAAGTAGCCGTCATCCAGCCAACTCCAGCTCCAACAATGAGTCATGCTGCACCTTGTTGTAAAGCTCAGAAGCTTGGGAATCCAGTTTTCTTTATAGACGACTTTGGATAGTGTCTCATAACTCAGTAATGTAGCCCTGTGGTGTGAATCAATAATTGCCCATTTTTTAAAAGCACAGAAACAGCCTGAATCAAAAGACAAAAGGCAAAACTCATGTGGTGAAAAGAGGCACGAGGCAGGGCTCCCGTCTACTCTCCTGTTCAAAACGTTCAAAGAATACAATGTGATCGTCAAACTGTATTTCTCCAAAAAATACAGAACAAGGTGACAGCGGATCTAGATAAACTGGAAACTAAATCTCTCTCTCGCTCTCTCTCGTCTAAACTAAGTGTCAAGAGTTGCATTGTAAGAAATCCCGCACAGCTAACGGCCTGGACCCCCTGCTGAGACCATAAACTCAGCTTCCTCCAGATTTACTATATTCTAACACAGAGCGATTACGGCCCAGAGTGACTCTCAGAGGGAAGAAAACTAGAGACTATTAACCTGCTAAACGAGATTACAGTAGGGGCCGAAACCAGGCCCAGACTTGGTATTTCCTGTGGACCGAACATCACCACTGGGTGCTACTTAAGGGGAACTGAAATAGCTCGATAATTTACCTTTATTGTCAAACAAACTTGAGGTTTTGAGCTTCCCCATTACATCATTCTATTAGGAGCAGCTGAAGTTGGCTGTGTGTAGATCACTAGCTCAATCAAGTCCTAAAGGGCCATTAGCATTAGCATCCTCAAAGCTATTGCTACTTATCCCATGCATCTTTCTCCCTCTCGCCAGTCTCTCACCGTAGACCCAGCCGATGGCCAGAGACTGGAAGATGGAGAGCAGTAGGAGACTGGCTCCGCTGCAGGAGAAGTGGTCGTAGATCTGGAACACGTACAGTCCTCCCTAACACACAGGAAACACACACATTAAAGCTCGGGTATGTGACTTTCAAACCACAACAATAGAAACACGTGATAAATCCTTGTTTCTAGTCCCTGTCTCTAAAACAGTTCCTTCTATCAATGGTTTTCATGTATTTATGGCCTCTGTCACATCTTTAGAGCAGCTTTTTCAGACAGAATAGTGAAAAACAGAGGCCAATCCGCTCTCAGCCTAAAGAGTCAAATAGTGACTCACAGGTTCACTATTTGGGTTTCTTGGGGCAATGCAGATTTACGAATACAATCAATTTAAAAATACAATCAAGGCTGGAAGCAAACATGGGATGGGGGTAATGCTAATACTAGTTAGCAATTAGGAGAAGGAGAAGAAAACTTGACAGATATCCTGTATTTGAATGTGAATACATGCATTTATAGAAGTTAAAACGTAAATGAAAGTAGTAAGGACTGTATCTTTGCTCTGTTTATCCTTAACTTACTTTAAACTATGTATGTTTTATTTATTCTTTGCTCTTACCGGAGTGACCATGACGAGCCCGATCAGCATACACACCACACACACTGCCAACAGCAGCAGCTCTCTGCGGCGCCCCCTGCGGATCAACTGAGGGTACAGGTCTGTGACGGAGGTCATCAGGGCTTCCAGGCTCACAAACTGTGGACACAACCAACCCACAGAATAACTATTGTTACTATCTACTCCAGAGACATCACCCCCATCCCTGAGGACTGAGTCTTCTGAACCTTGAGGACCGATTGTTCTGAACCCTATAGGTAAATTTTCTTAGAAAGATCACTTTTGTTATTGGTTACATTTTTATTTATTTATTCGGAGCAACTGTAAAAATTACAATGACAACTGTCTGATTTTTGTTGTGTGGGCTGTGATTGACAAGCGAGCTGTCAATACAGCCCCGACCACGGCCAACTCTATGCCCTCCGTCCTGTCCGCTGGGCAATGCCTTTTTTTAGAGAGAATTTTCAAATGTTCATGTGGGCGGAGTTACAACTGGGCACTGGTGTTTAGTTGATCTTTAACAGAGTATTCACCTGAGTGTCCAGCCCCAACATTATGATCATGAGGAAGAAGCAGACGGACCAGAGCTGAGGCAGAGGCATCATGGCCACAGCTCGAGGGTACGCAATGAAGGCCAGACCTGGACCTGGACACAGGAGACAGAAACCACAATGAGACAGAAACCACAATGAGACAGAAACCACAATGGGGGATACACAAGTTTACTTTGAAGACAGAGAGACAAAGACAGAGAGAGAGCGAGAGCTCTGTACCTGACTGAGCCACTGAGGAGATGTCCACTCCTTGTTCTTGAGCCATAAATCCCAGAACAGAGAAAATGGCAAAGCCAGCTAAAAAACTGGTGCTGCTGTTCAGAAGACACAGCTTAAAAGAGTCCCTGCAAATGAAATGGAGACAAATACTTAACACACAGACCAGCAACCGAAGCAAAGAGAGGAGAAAAACTAAATATAAAATCAGTTTTTTGGATATTTTTCTAGAATTAAATTGATTTGAATGCGATCTCTGGGTCCTAGTGTTAAACTTTTCATGTCCAGTTTGTTATTCTTTGTAGATCAGCACGGTCTAGTCCAGAGGAGGCCACAATACTTGAACTAGACTGGACCAGGCCCAAGGCAGTGAGTCCCAGGCGTTGGACAGTTGTATAATGTATAAAGTGTTATGGCCTCCTCTGTTCTTAAGGTGTGGTCTCTGGTTTGTTTTCTCGCTTCATTCCTCTCATTCCTCTGCAGCTGAAGCAGGGCCCAGATCAACTGTACACATGTGATGAAGGAGAGCCACACAGGCAGCGTGTGAGCGGATACATGCTTTATTATGTTCATGTGACATCACAACATTGCAAAGAGCCTGTCTTTAGGGTTTGTCTGTGAGTAACATGACTCAGTTAGAGGATTTCTGTCTATCCCATCTCTGTGTCTCGATGTGTGTGTGTGTGTGTCTATGTCTGAGTGTGTTTCTCCCTCTCTGTGTGTGACTGTACCAGTGTGTGCACGCACGTCTCTTACTTGTAGCAGTCATTGTTGTACTTGTTGTAGCTGCCCAGAGCAGTGAGGCTGCCCAGACAGATGCCGTACGAGAAGAAGATCTGAGTCCCAGCATCCATCCACACCTGCAAAATACACACACACACACACACACACACACCTTTAAAACACTTTATGGGGCGTTCAGACTGCTGACACTGGAATGCGTTAAGCTAGCGGTTTTTTGTGTAAAGTTCTTCTCCAATAATGCAGCTCTGCAGCATCTCTGTGTCTGAGGCCTTCACAGACTTCATACAACAGCAGTATGTGTTCATGGAGGTGCGCCATAAGTTTATTTTATTATTAAACGGTACTTCCGCATCGGCGAGCACGTTTGCAGTATTTGTTTACAGTCACTTCAGAATGAGAACTCAAGCTGGAGGCATATGTTCACAAGCACTGTGTCCCCCGTTGTCAGTTCTGGTTTAGCCCTGGATTAGCTCCTGTTTTGGCTGTTTAGGAGTCTGCTCGTGGCACACATCTTTGCTTGGACGTGCATGAACTAATTGCCGATGTGCACTGATTGCAGGTGCTATACATACAAAAATTCACACGTTTGTGAGAGACTTTTGAGTTTGACATCTCCCACATTATTTAATAACACAAAGTATCGGCATAGCTCAAACATGACTTTGTGAAATTGCATATTTATAACGCAAGAGGTATTTGCCATACGCTCACTTATAGGTCAATAAATGCCGAAAAGTAATTTTTTTCCGTACGCCTCATTTACACCCTGATTTGACTGTACGCAAGTTTCATAAATGAGGGCCGATGAGTCCAGAGTTTGTAAATACAATTTAAATCCATTTCCAGTCTTTCACTGTACTCAGGAGTTCAAGACTTGAGGCCTGGAGCTAAACAACAGCAGTCTTTAAACCTCTCTGATTTGAGAAAAGCAGCGTTTGACCAAGTGGCAGTATTTTTAACCCATGGGAGGAACCTCAGTGGCTTTCCCTCATTTTTAGCAGCAGACACAGTGAGAGAAAGAAAGAGAGAGAGAGAAAGAGCGAGACAGAGGGCGAAAGGTCAGGGCTCCGCAAGAATGTGTGGATATACAGTGAGGCTTTACACACCCAGAGATGTCCCTGTTTTGACCATAGTTCAGAGAGAGAGAGAGAGAGAGAGAGAGACAGTTGCAGACAGAGAAAGACAAGGGAAAAATCAGAGAGACCAGAGAGAGACCAAAGAGGGAGACCAGAATCAGACATCAGAGAGAGAGAGAGAGAGACAGATGCCGACAGAGAAAAACCAGAGAGAGACCAAAGACGGAGACCAGAATCAGACATCAGAGAGAGAGAGCAGAGAGAAACCAAGAGAGATCAGAGACCAGAGAGAGACCAGAGGAGAGAGCAAGCAAAGACCAGAAAGAGAGAGAGACCAGAGTGTCAGAGACCAGAGAGAAAGCAGAGAGATAAATGGGTCTTTGTGATTTTTTTTTTATCATTGTACAGTATTTCTTGTGTTTGGACTGTTTGATTCTCTCATCTGTGATGGCAAAATCACTGGTTTTGTAAAGTCCTCCGAGATATCTACCGTTGAGATTTAGGGCCATGCAAGAATAAATTGATATGAATTGAGATAGAGAGAGTGTGTGTGTGTGTGTGTGTGTTCTTGTAATCATCACGTTGTGGGGACTGTAATCTGTTAACACAGTCACGCCATGGGGACCCATTTCCTTAGGAGGACCAAAAACCAGGTCCCCATAAGGAAAACCATTTAGATCAGGGGTGCTCAATACGTCGATCGCGATCTACCGGTCGATCGCAAAGGTAGTATTGGTAGATCGCATTAAATAAATGAAAAAATTACACATTCTAAACAAAATAGAATACAAATATATAAATATATATATATAATATAAATATATACAAAAAACTCCGGGCAAAGTGGAGATTTTTGAAAACTCTGTTAATGCATTTGTGTGTAGTCAGAGATAACCGGAGTTTTGCGTTCTCGCACGCCACAGTACCCCCCTAAATTCCTCTGATCACTGAAGCATGGATCATACTACCTTAAAAACTGTTCACTGTGAGATGCTCGCAGCAGCGAACATCCTCGCTCCACACCAGAGAGCAGCAAAGTGATCGCGGGGACTCACGCTAGAAAACAACCAAACCAGGACTAAACCAGGACTAAACCAGGACTAAACCAGGACTAAACCAGGACTAAACCAGGGCTGAGGACGGGGTCATTGCTTGTAAACATACGTCTTTACTCTGAGTGTCTTCTATGACTGTAAAAGTGCCGTTACCGGCATCTGCATCAAAGCTCCGCCCACTTCTGTGTTTTTCCCCAACGCAGGACAGGACGTAAGAGACGCACATGTTTGGAATGTTACGAATGTGATTGATAACGCAGATGTGTGGATGCAAATTATTTTATAAACTGAGGAGGGGAAATATTTGGATTTAAAAAAAATAGGCATGGCACATGGACATGGCACCACAGTCAAATGACATCTGTGTTTTACTCAGTAATGTTTTACTGACACTAGTTGACTGCACATGCGCAAACAACCGCGCTCAGTGCAGGAAAGCTAAAGCACGACAAACTTGTCAGCGAGTTACCACCAATTTTCCGGACTATGCCTCCCTGGCCGATTCAATTCAGTGCAAGTCATAAGAGTAAACTCGGGTAATGACAAAAAATGTACATAGGTAATTGTGTTGTGTTGTGCTATATTGGCTCATGCGGTTTTGCATGTACATAAACATACATTGTAGGTATACAGAATATTTTTTGAAATAAATATATGATTTGCATTTTTGTAGTAGGTAGATCATTTTGACTTGATCCTTTTATAAGTAGCTCGCATGCTGAAAAAGTGTGAGCACCCCTGATTTAGATGAATGGGGGAGCTGTTTAGAAGGTGCTGGGCAAAGTTTCAGAGAAGGCTTGTAAGTGATGTTTAATGTGTGTGTAGTGGTTGCTCATTGGCACCTCTGGTGGTAATGACTGGTAAGACACATTGGCCACACACACTTTGCATATATAATTAAGTACCGCCCACATCCTGGTCCCCAAGAGTGATGATCATGGAATCAACTGTTTTCAGCTGCTTTCAAATGCAACAGACAGGTAAGCATAATTTGCAATAATTTTAGAACAAATATTGTATATATCCATCCATCCATTTTCTACCCTTTAATCCATTTCTGGGTCAGGGGGGTGGCAATCAGAGATGCCACCCAAGTCTCATAGCACCAGCCCCTCACTGATCCTCTGCAGGTGGTGAGTCCACAGGAGGGCGGCTGCTCTCTGAGTGTGAGCATAGCCTTGATCTTTCAGTGGGGGCTTTGGGCAAAGTGGGGTTAAGTGTCTTGCCCAAGGACACAACGACAGCAGTCATCAGTGGGAGTCGGTGGAGAAGGTGCAGAGGTGGGAATTGAACCCACAACCTTCTGGCCTTAAGGCCAATGCTCTACCAACTGAGCTACTATCGCCCAATTGTATTATATATATATACAATTATATATTACATGTATATTGTATATATGCATATTATTAATAGCAACCAAGTTATTGCTAATTCACTTTTTTGGCCTGAATTGCTGTGGTTTTAATGTACAGACTAATGCAACTAGTTCGAGCTAGCATTGGCAACTTGTTGGAGCTAGCATTAGCAACTAGCTTGGACAGCAGATTCTACCAAACAGCACATGGGTCAATGTTCCCTTCTAGAAGTACATTCAGATGGCGAACAGATGTCTTTGCAGTAAACGAGTGGTGACTAAATTACATACGTAGAGCATCTTATGTACTAGAAGTAGCTAGCTAGGAAGTTAGCGCCGATTTTTGCTAACAGGCTGTCAGAGTAAACAGGCTAAAGAATCTGAGTACTCTTTGCTGGTAGCTGTACTAAAGACTGTATCTGTTCAATGCTCATGCAAAACGAATAAACTGTGTAATAAGTACAGATTCAGTGATTTAGTTTGCATGGTTTCCCTTTTTAAGCAAGATTAGATGTGATTTTAATATACAACCTGTTAGCAATAGCAACTAGCTTATATAGTAATCAACTTGTGTGTGGTACTTTCAAGAAGCAACTAAAGGTTTCTCAGTACATATACAGGCTCTGAATGATACAACTAAAGCTTTCTATGTAATAGCAGTAACCTATAGTGGCTATACTTATTAAGAAGTAGTTTGCAGTTTAGTTTTATTTTAAGAATTAAGTGGGTCAAATGGCAGAAATATTTAATTTCTTCAAGTAGAAAGGAAAAAGAAAAGTTACTGAAGTACTGGATGAATATATTACTTGAGTACCTGACTAAATGTTGAAAGTAGAGGTTTGACTTGTAATTATGTATTAAAATATATTAGATATAGAAGATATTTGGAAGTAATATAGTAGAAACAGTTGCACCAAACCTACAGATAAAATAAAGTACAAATGTAAGTAAGTAAGTTTTTTTATTTATATACCGCCTTTTCACTGCAGATCTGAGTCTCAAAGCGGTTTACAATTGTTAATTTTGGGCATTTGTCTCTCACTCCACACAGAGATGGGAGCGGGGTCGCCAGTACAGGAGGCGCATGCCAGAACTATTGGACATATTTTTAGTGGTAGGGGAAACCGGAGTACCCGGAGAAAACCTACGCAGACACGGGGAGAACATGCAAACTCCACTCAGAAATGTAATAGAATTGTTTCAAAAAATTACTCAAGTGAAATCATAATTATGAATTCTGTTGTTTATGTTTTTGATGATTTAAATGGCACCACGAATTAGCCCAGAAAAACCTCTGTCCGTGGGGTTTGAAAATTTAGCTGAAAAAGCTGTCTCTGTAATATATAATTTGAATTGATAAATATAGGTAAGCTTTGAGTATGTAAGCTTGGTGATTGTAGCACTATACTGTATAATGTATGTACTATATGTGTTTAAAAGTTTTTATATATCTATATATATATATATTTTTTTTTTTTTCAGCATTGATGCTTCAGTACAAGATGGCACATTTGGGCGTATTGTTAATGATGACCACATCCACCCAAATTGTAAGATGAAAAGAAGCATTACGAGACAAAAAAGGAGAAGAAATTACTTATGATTATGGTGGAGATGACTGCCCATGGAGAGAAAAAGTATGTCACAAATACACGCTTAAAATAATTGCTTAATGCTAACTTAATACAAAGAATGCCCTTTCAGTTACTGCTATTGACTTGAACTATGTTTGAAAGTTTGTTTCATTGGTCCCCATAAAGAATGAATGGAAGTGTGTGAAATGGCCTCCTATGGTGGTGATTTTACATTGTATGATTGTTTTAGTTATGACTTGGAGCTTGGAGTTTTCTGCCATAGACAAGGCTTTAGGTAGACTTCAGGAAGTCTAGTTTAGACCTTTATAAATCCTGATTCTCCACTGTGAGATCAATTAAGTTTCTCTTATCTTGTTTCATGGTGATCCAGACCTGGTGGTACATTTCAGTATTTTATAACATGGGGCTTGGTTGGAAAAATTGGAGCACTGTTTTAGACTTATAGATTATTATAGTGTTCTATTGTAAAGTCTTATACCTTCTGTCTCCCACAGATGACCCACGTGTCAGCAGATGGCTTTACAACAGGCTTTCTTGATCATTCTGACCAGCCTCAGTCCCACAGAAATGGTAACGATGCCTCTCACAAACAGGTAGGATCACATTATTCAATCATGGCAAAATACCAGAGATTCTTTGTCAGTTCTGAGCAAGCTTTTTAACATTTGAAGTCAATTCTATAAGATTTGTTATGTTTAACTCATTTAACTATATTCAGTAAGTAGATAAGTGGAAGTAGAATATTTTTAGCCTTTTTCAAATGAACCATCACAATGTCCCCATAATACATTTTGATCGACTTCTGTTGAGTTTAATCATGTGTGAAAGTATGTTAAAATGGTACCCGTAAAGAAGGAATGGAAGTGTGTGAAATGGCCCTAAAAAGGTCCCCATAACGCACTAAGAGTGACTGATGATGAGTGGAATTGTTTTTGAAAGTTCATTGAATTGGTCCCCATGAAGGAATTGAGAGGGGTGTGAAAAGGTCCTCATGAGACGTGTTCCCGACTCTAGATGTGTGTGTGTACAAACAAGTTGGTTTTACATCTGTCAAACTATGATTTGTGTACTTCTGGTAGTACTTTGGCCCCCTTGGGTGGTTCTTTAAATTTTAATTTGTGATCTCTGTTCTAGACCATGATTATTTTAGTGTTTTATTATAAATCCTTATACCTTCTGTCTCCCACAGATGACCCATGTGACAGCAGATGGCTCAACTACAGGTTTTCTTGATCATTCTAACCAGCCTCAGTGCCACATGATTATGTAATTTGGAAACGATGCCTATCAGATTAAGGTAGGATCATATTTATCAATCATGACAAAATACCAGAGGTTCTTTGTCAGTTCTGAAAAAGCTTTATAACATTTGAAGTAAATTATCTTAGATTTGTTATGTGTCACTCGTTAAACTATATTCAGTACGTGGAATAGTGGAAGGAGAATACTTTAAGCCTTTTTTGGTCATTGCAGACAAGGACTTTTTACTTAAATCTTTCTTTCAAATCTCACGATGTCCCCATAAAGACACTTTGAGTGACTTCTATTAAACATGTGTGAAAGTCCATTGAATTGGTCCCCGTAAAGAAGGAATGTGTGTAAATGAGCCCTCAAAATGTCCCCATAACACACTTTGAGTGACTGCTGATGAGTTGAACCGTGTGTGAAAGTCCATTGAATTGGTCCCCATGAAGGAATGTGTGAAAAGGTCCTCATCAGACCCCCGGGGACCCCTAGATGTGTGTAGTGTGCAAACAAGTTTGTTTTACATCTGTCAATCTATGATTTGTGCACTGCTGGTAAGTACTTTGGCCTTCTAGGGTGGTTAATTAAATTAAATTTGTGATCTCTGTTTAATAAGATGGTGATTATTATAGTGTGTTATTGTAAATCCTCATACCTTCTGTTTCCCACAGATGACCCACGTGACAGCAGATTGCACTACTCCAGGTTCTGTTGATCATTCTGACCAGCCTCAGTGCCACATGAATACGTCATTTGCAAACGATGCCCCTCAGAAACAGGTAGGATAATTTTTATCAATCATGACAAAATACCAGAGGTTCTTTGTCAGTTCTGAAAAGGTTTTATAACATTTGAAGTCAATTATCTTAGATTTGTTTTGTGTCACTCATTAAACTATATTCAGTAAGTGGAATAGTGGAAGGAGAATACTTTAAGCCTTTTTTTGTCATTGCAGACAAGGACTTTTTACTTAAATGTTTCTTTCAAATGAACCCTCACGATGTCCCCATAAAACACTTTGAGTGACTTCTATTAAACATGTGTGAAAGTCCATTGAATTGGTCCCCGTAAAGGAGGAATGGAAGTGTGTGAAATGGACCATCAAAATGTCCCCATAACGCACTAGGAGTGACTGATGAGTGGAATTGTTTTTGAAAGTTAATTGAATTGGTCCCCATGAAGGAATGGGGCAGGGGTATGAAAAGGTCCTCATGAGGCATGTCCCCGACCCTAGATGTGTGTATGTGCAAATAGGTTTGTTTTAAATCTGTCAATCTATGATTTGTGTACTGCTGGTAGTACTTTGGCCTTCTTGTGTGGTTCTATTAAATTAAATTTGTGATCTCTGTTTAAGACGGTGATTATTATAGTGTTTTATTGTAAATCCTCATACCTTCTGTTTCCCACAGATGACCCACGTGACAGCAGATTGCACTACTCCAGGTTCTGTTGATCATTCTGACCAGCCTCAGTGCCACATGAATACGTCATTTGCAAACGATGCCCCTCAGAAACAGGTAGGATAATTTTTATCAATCATGACAAAATTCCAGAGGTTCTTTGTCAGTTCTGAGAAAGCTTTTCAACATTTGAAGTCATTTGTATAAGATTTGTCATGTGTAACTCATTAAACTATATTCAGTAAGTGGAATAGTGGAAGGAGAATACTTTAAGCCTTTTTTTGTCATTGCAGACAAGGACTTTTTACTTAAATGTTTCTTTCAAATGAACCCTCACGATGTCCCCATAAAACACTTTGAGTGACTTCTATTAAACATGTGTGAAAGTCCATTGAATTGGTCCCCGTAAAGGAGGAATGGAAGTGTGTGAAATGTCCATCAAAATGTCCCCATAACACACTTTGAGTGTGCTGATGAGTTGAACCGTGTGTGAAAGTCCATTGATTTGGGCGGCACGGTGGCTGAGTGGATAGCACTCTCGCCTCTCAGCAAGAAGGTCCTGGGTTCGAATCCCGGTCGGACCAGGGCCTTTCTGAGTGGAGTTTGCATGTTCTCCCCGTATCTGCGTAGGTTTCCTCCGGGTACTCCGGTTTCCCCTATCACTAAAAATATGTCCAATAGTTCTGGCATGCGCCTCCTGTACTGGCGACCCCACTCCCATCTCTGTGTGGAGTGAGAGACAAATGCCCATAATTGATTGACTGCGGAACCTTCCGCAGTCAACCATTGGTTTTGTATTTCTTTATTCCGTCATTTTTTTTGACACGTTTCACAGCTTTCACATTTTCAACAATTTCCACAAGTTATACATCAAAACGTTCCACATGTTTGGGAGATTATTGCTATTACTTTTGGGACTTCAGCGATTTCCGGTTTTTCCGCAATCGGACAAAAATCGGTCGATTTTTCCCATTGACTTATAATGGGGCTTCCACAAATTCATAGTTTTCAGAATTTTCTTCAACATTTTCAGCATTTTCTGCAGTTTGTGCATGTTCAGCTTCCACAACTTCTGAGTTTTCAGAAAAAAATAGAGTTCTGCAGTTTTCCAGTTTTTTTCTACGGGACTTGGGAATTCTGCCATTAATTTGCATTGAGAATTCTGCAATGCATTTTAATAGGCCCATGCATTTTAATAGGACTTCAGCTCTTTCAGACATTTCTACAGTTTCAATGATTCAACAGTTTCAATGATTCAACAGTTTCAATGATTCAACAGTTTCAAGGACTTCAGCAGTTTCAAGGTTTCAAGAGTTTCAAGGACTTCAACAGTTTCAAGGACTTCAACAGTTTCAAGGACTTCACCAGTTTCAAAGACTTCAGTGTAATCATGCAACCTAATAGGGATTTTTCCATGTAAACCAGTATAATGCAACTTAATAGGGGTTTTTACATGTAAACCAGTATAATGCAACTTAATAGGGTTTTTTCCATGTAAACCAGTATAATGCAACTTAATAGGGATTTTTCCATGTAAACCAGTATAATGCAACTTAATAGGGATTTTTCCATGTAAACCAGTATAATGCAACTTAATAGGGTTTTTTTCATGTAAACCAGTATAATGCCACTTAATAGGGTTTTTTTCATGTAAACCAGTATAATGCAACTTAATGGGGATTTTTCCATGTAAACCAGTATAATGCAACTTAATATGGGTTTTTACATGTAAACCAGTATAATGCAACTTAATAGGGTTTTTTTTTACATGTAAACCAGTATAATGGAACTTAATAGGGTTTTTTACATGTAAACCAGTATAATGGAACTTAATAGGGGTTTTTACATGTAAACCAGTATAATGGAACTTAATAGGGGTTTTTACATGTAAACCAGTATAATGCAACTTAATAGGGATTTTTCCATGTAAACCAGTATAATGCAACTTAATAGGGTTTTTTACATGTAAACCAGTATAATGCAACTTAATGGGGATTTTTCCATGTAAACCAGTATAATGCAACTTAATAGGGGTTTTTACATGTAAACCAGTATAAAGGATAACAGTTTAAAGGATATCAGGAGCTTCAAATACTTCAGGAGTTTCAAAGATGTTTAAAGTATTTTAACAGTTTCAAGGATTTCAAGGATTTTTCAGCTAAATTCCACATTAGATCTGTTCCGCAGTCAATCGCAATGGCTTCAGCCATTGCAAGTTTCTAGTTTTATATATACTTTGCAGAAGGATGACAGTCACTTCCCAGCGCCTCCTCAGGAGGACCACCGCCCCCTCAAGAGGACCACCGCCCCCTCAAGAGGACCACCGCCCCCTCTGGTCTTACCCGGTCTCTCCCGATGGGCAGGGGATGAGCTGTATACATGTTCCTCTTCCCGTCGTATCCTGGTTGTCGATCTCCAAAGATCTGCATCTTAAAGTGTCGCACCATTGTGTCCACCACTTCCCTGAAAAGGAAAGTTTATTTGTATAGCACAGTTCATACACAAGTTTTGACAGAATATGACCTCCTTGTCATGGCATACTTCATGACCAAAATGAATAAATATAAATCAACATTTCAGTCTGTAAGCTTTCGAGCACAAACCAAAACTACTCCATTACTACCACCCAACTAGCTTGAACCAAATTCAGCAACAGAAGGCTCCTGATTGGGCGGTTGTTTGGACTCATATCTGGATTAACACAGACGTCACAATATAAACACCAGGATCACAGAAAGCGATAAACACTTTTACACTTTTACTTTTACACAGAATTCAATAGGAGCCTGAGAGAGGAGCCAAACTTCACCAAGAGTCCTTCCCTATTAGGCTTCATTGAGCATTAGCATCTGTGTAGGGTCTGTTAGTGTCCTCACCGGTTGACCCTGCGCGGTCTCTTCTCGGGCTTGATGTCGATGTCATAGTGGTAAACGTCGATCTTGGGGATCTGAACCTGGAAGTGGTTGGCGAGGAGCCGGATGGGTTTCCCCACCGTGCCGAGGCCGGGACGCCGCGGAGGCTGGAACAGAGAGGGCGGGGTGGGCGGCCCTAAGGAGACACAAGGAAGAGTTTAAGACCAGAGAGAGAAACCAGGAGAGAGAGACCAGAGAGAAATCAGAAGAGAGCAAAGAGAGACCAATGAGAGACCAGAGAAAGAACTGAGGAGAACTAGGAGAGACCAGATATACAGGTCCTTCTCAAAGCATTAGCATATTGTGATAAAGTTAATTATTTTCTGTAATGTACTGATATTCATTAGACTCTCATATATTTTAGAATCATTACACACAACTGAAGTAGTTCAAGCCTTTACTGTTTTAATATTGATGAATTTGGCCAAAAAAAAAAAGTAAAGAAAAACCAAAAGTCCCTATCTCAGAAAATTATCATCTGAACCAACAAATTAACTCTGAACGCCTGCAGAAGATCCATCCATCCATTTTCTACCCTTTAATCCATTTCTGGGTCAGGGGGGTGGCAATCAGAGATGCCACCCAAGTCTCATAGCACCAGCCCCTCACTGACCCTCTGCAGGTGGTGAGTCCACAGGAGGACAGCTGCTCTCTGAGTGTGAGCATAGCCTCGATCTTTCAGTGGGGGCTTTGGGCAAAGTGGGGTTAAGTGTCTTGCCCAAGGACACAACGACAGCAGTCATCAGTGGGAGTCGGTGGAGAAGGTGTAGAGGTGGGAATTGAACCCACGACCTTCAGGCCTGAAGGCCAATGCTCTACCAACTGAGCTACTGCAGAAGATGCCTGAGGCTTTTAAAAAATCCCGGCCTGGTTCATTACTAAAAACTGCAATCATGGGTAAGACAACCAACCTGACTGTTGTCCAGAAGGCCATCATTGACACCCTCAAGACGCAGAAAGACATTTCTGAGCGAATAGGCTGATGTTCTGAAATTTAAGATAAGTTTTCCTTTATTCGTCCCACAGTGGGGAAATTTTGATGTTGCAGCGCACATATAGGACAGTAGTAAGAGCACACAGGGAGCACACAGGGATCACACACAATATATACAAATAAGTAGTAGCTATGTTTCTTAGCTAACATAACTAGCTGTAGATGCTGAAAATGCTTCAATACCAGTCAAAATATATATATGTAGTAGTAGTGCAGTTATATACTGTACAGTTAAATAGTGCAGGATAAAAAGTATATAAGTAAAGTGACATGAGGTAAAGTGGCATTGTTCTGTGACATTCTGAAGTTGCAGTATTGCACATTGCACATGATTTAAGAATTTACTTAATTACACATGAATGAAATTTAGTAAGTAAGTAAGTAATGTTTATTTATATACCGCCTTTCACAGACAAGGGTCACAAAGCGGTTTACAATTGTTATTTTTTTTTTGGGCATTTGTCTCTCACTCCACACAGAGATGGGAGCGGGGTCGCCAGTACAGGAGGCGCATGCACAGTCCTATTGTACATATTTTTAGTGGTAGGGGAAACCGGAGTACCCGGAGGAAACCTACGCAGACACGGGGAGAACATGCAAACTCCACTCAGAAAGGCCCTGGTCCGACCGGGATTTGAACCCAGGGCCTTCTTGCTGAGAGGCGAGAGTGCTATCCACTCAGCCACCGTGCCGCCCTTTACAGGCTCAGCAGTTCTTATTGTACAGTCTGACAGCAGCAGGAAGGAAAGACCTACGGAACCTCTCTCCTTCACACAGCGAGGGTGAATTAGTCTGTCACTGAAGCTGCTCTCCAGAGCAGAGAGAGTGTCCTGCAGGGGGTGACAGTCATGGTCCAGCATAGATGTTAGTTTGCTCAGGACCCTCCTGTCCCCCACCTGCTGCACTGTGTCCAGGGAACAGCCCAGGACAGAGCTGGACTTCCTGATGACCTTGTCCAGCTTCTTCCTGTCCCTCTCTGTGATGCTGCTGTTCCAGCAGACCACACCGTACAAAATGGCTGATGCCACCACAGAGTCATAGAAGGTCTTCAGGAGTGGCCCCTGCACCCCAAAAGACCTAAGCCTCCTCAGTAGGTAGAGGCGACTCTGGCCCTTCTTGAAGAGGGCGTCTGTGTTATAAGTCCAGTCCAGTTTGTGGACTGGACTCTAATAAAAGGTTTATCTTATCCTATCTTATCTTATGTGAAATAGCGAATAGGAAATGGGTAACAGAAACCAGAACCAGAAACAGCGGCAGAAGCGCCTGACCTGGGCTACAGAGAAGCAGCACTGGGCTGTTGCTCAATCGTCCAAAGTACTTTTTTTGGATGAAATCAAGGTGCCAGAGTGTGGAGGAAGACTGGGGAGAAGGAAATGCCAAAACGCCTGAAGTCCAGTGTCAAGTACCCACAGTCAGGGATGGTCTGGGGTGTCATGTCAGATGCTGGTGGTGGTCCACTGTGTTTAATCAAAGTCAGAGTCAATGCAGCGTGCTATCAGGAGATTTTGGACCACTTCATGCTTCCATCTGCTGAAAAGCTTAATGGAGATGAAGAATTCATTTTTCAGCACAACCTGGCACCTGCTTACAGGGAAAAGGATTCCCGACCAAGTATTGAGTGCGTAACTGAACATCATTATTTGAAGGTTGACTTTTATTGGTCGGATGAAATATGCTAATTTTTGTAGATAGGGATTTTTGGTTTTTCTTTACTTTTTTGCCAAAATCATCAATATTAAAACAATAAAAGGCTTGAACTATTTCAGTTGTGTGTAATGAATCTAAAATATATGAAGGTCTAATGTTTATCAGTACATTACAGAAAATAATGAACTTCATCACAACATGCTATTTTTTGAGAAGGACCTGTACATTACAATACTACATGAATGCACAGAGCCAAACTCTTAAACGATCCTTGCATAAAGGCCAATCCATCTGCTTCCATTTTTAATCAATTATGACATTGCTCCAATCTTCCAGAACATTATATTCATATTAATCATCGACACAATGCTCCGGTTAAAGCTGAGTGACCTGTATTGTCAGAGAGAGAAACCCACGCCACGCTCTGCTCCAAGGACCATAAAGGACATGAACACTGAGGACGTGCAGGTCAAAGCGAGACAGAGGGACCAGTGACCTACAATTATCACTCACTCCTCCTCAGGCAGACGCCAAGACCAGGGACCAAAAGAGAGACCAGAAAGACTAGAAGGAGAGCATAGAAAGACCAAAGAGAGTGAAAGACCAGAGAGACTAGAGGGAAACCAGAGGGAAACCAGAGAGAGAGAGAGAGAGAGAGAGAGAGAGAACGAGAGAGAACGAGAGAGAACGAGAGAGAACGAGAGAGAACGAGAGAGAGAGCGCGAGACCAGATGAACATAAAGGACATGAACGTTGGGGATGTACAGGTCACAGTGGGACACAGGGGGCAATGACCTACAATTATCCCGCCCCCACTTTTCCTCCCACTACTTCTCCCCCTCCTTTCCCCCCCCTCCTCTTTCACCTCTTCCTCCCTCTCAGCGAGACGCCACAGGAAACCAGAGACCACCCCCACTACCATAAACCACCACACAGCTGATGGACACTGGAGAGAACACTGTATGAACAGGTGTAAGAGGAAAGAGACTCCTGTGTCACAGATCCCAGAAGCTTAGGGTCTCCCTCTCTCTGGTCTCCCTCTCTCTGGTCTCCCTCTCTCTGGTCTCCCTCTCTCTGGTCTCCCTCTCTCTGGTCTCCCTCTCTCTGGTCTCCCTCTCTCTGGTCTCCCTCTCTCTGGTCTCCCTCTCTCTGGTCTACATGGAGTGTATAGCACAAAGATGGCAGCCACAGGAAACAGTTTGGGAAATCTGCCTCATGCGATAAACACATGGATCTATTATAATAACTGCATAGGGTATTACTAGCTTGGAGCTGAAGGACTCATGTCCTCGGGGGATTCTCGCGGTACTGCAGACTAAACCAGACTAAATTCACGAGGGCTACCCAGAAATTTTCCCCATAGAACTCAATGTAAACTAAAAGAGCTCGACCTCAGCTGAGAAAGCATCTACAGCTTTTAGAAAGGTCGCTCTGATCAGCAGCACTGATTGGTCAGAGCGCGATCGAGCCCCTCTGTGCACGTGCATGAGAGCCACACACGTGTATTTGGTGCAACACATAATGGGAGCTCGTCCACTGCACAGAACCGGGAGGACCAGACGATGCCCAAATACAGGAGAGTTCCCCTGATCTTTTGCCGTCCATGTCGGCACATGCGCCACTGAGCACAAGCCATTCATTTGAATACGGCGCCATCTTAGATCACCGGGGCTTGGATAAACACCCGAAACCCTGCACCCCCACATACACCCCCACCCAACATAGACAAGAGAGCCATATGGACACAGATTATACACCACGACTGAGGCAAACCGTTCACAATATGCTTTAAGAATCCTTGAGGTGAAACATATCTAACGGTGACACCTAACCCAAACATATCTAGCCCCCAGGTTTCAAACCCACGGCCCATGGGCCAGATGTGGCCCAACAGACTAGTTTCTGTAGCCCCTAAATTGATTTTCAATTATTACTAATAAAATTTAACAGCAGCATTGATGGTGCCACCAATCCTTTCTGGCCCAGTTTTGGTTCAGTCCAAACACAGAAATTGAATTCAGAAAAGTCTGAAAAAAATCTCAAAAGGTTTAAGATATAAAGTCAATCTTTTGTCAAAATACTTTCATAAAGTAAACATGCAATAACACATATCCACAGATACAAAGATGAGCCTTTATACTTTTGTTATGGTTTAAATCCGACTTCCAACAAGAAGTGCCTGAGGGTCTTTTGGTGGTGGGGGAAACCGGAGCACCCAGAGAAAACCTACTCACAGGGACAACATGCAAACTGCACTAAGAAAAGCCTTGTTGCTTACAAGGATTTCCAGGGACAACAATACAAGAAGCCATGGAGAGATATGGATGAAGATTCTGGTCTCTCCTCTGGCCTCTCGTCCGGCCTCTTTCTGGGTGTAATATTGTTTTGGCAAAACCATGCAGCTAGTCTGATTCGTTCACAATTTCCTTATCATGAGTCAGATGCTGAAGTCGACCTTGTACCAGGTGTGGTTGTACCAGATGTGGTTGGACCAGGTCTCGTTGGATTAGGTCTCGATGGATTAGGTCTCGTTGCTGAGCGTTGGCGTGGGGGGTGAGGGGGGGTGGCAGTGATTGTTCGTGCTCTCGCGCTTCACTTGTTAAATGGAGCGTTTTAGAGACTCCCTCAGACAAAGAACAAGGGTCTTCCACTCTACATTTAAAACTATACCACCCTACATTTAAAACATGTGCCACCCTAGATTTATAACATATGCCACCCTAAATGTAAAATATATATGACAACATTTGACATCACACATACCAGAGACCAGCGGTTCACATTCTGCTGAAACATGTATGATCTCTCTCTCTGGTCTCTGACACAGGACCATGTGTAATGTAACTTACAGTCTTAAAGTTAAATGTTGTTAACTAATCAGACACAACTGTCTGTCTTCATCTTCTTTGAAGAGGCTGCGAGCTGATTGGCTGAGTGAGGGTGGTTCTCTCTTTTTATTTTTATAGCGTCTACTGTACACCTGGGTTAGCCTAGCCTTAGCCATCGGTAAACTCCTGCCAAATATCATTTCCCTACATGTACTTCTGGGTCTGGTCCCAGTGTCTGCAGTTACCTCGGTTGACCAATCTGTAAGCGGGGGAGGCAGGTGTTGTCGGTAGGTGTCGGTGACGTCAAGAGTTTGTGCCGAATTTGCTGGTTGTAGTAAGGAATGGGCAATAGGGCAAAAAGTAAAATCTCGATTTTATTTCCTGCTTTGGACGATTTCATTGAAGTCACCAAAGCCAGACTTCGCCCTTAAAAATATTTTGGGATCTTTCCACTCAATATTCAAGTTTCAAAACTATATTTAATTTGTTTCCCCCAATGCGTATTATAGTCTTGTACAGACTGTGCTGATATTGCAAGTATAATTCATGTGCCACTGGGACTCTCACGATACCCTTCATTCGATTTCACAAATTTAATTTTTGTCAAAAGCCTAAATTCTATTTATTGCCCAGCCCTAGTTGTAGGTAGGCAATGGCAGCAATTGCAATAGGGAAAGCTAATTTGTTCTAGCCTGACTCTCGCCAGACCCTTGTAGTTCCGCCATGCTCCACCAGAGGCGTTTTGCTTCACACACAAGGGTCTGGGATCCTTAAGTAACCTTAAGCAGTAGTTAAGGTTAGCTCCGCCGCTTGTTGTGCTAATTCAGCTGTCTGTGCGCGAGGGACCTGTAGATTTCTCACGAAAGCGGGGGCTAGTGGTGCGCTGTGATTGGTCACAATCTGTGACCCGAAACACATTCTCTTCCTTGTTTCATCAAAACTCAATCTAAAATATAATGTCACGCCAGCATAAAATCTGCGCTACTTTTTCTTCAAAAAGACGTATATCCCAATGCACTACATGGATAGCATTTTCGTAATGAATACATAAACAAAGTCAGTTAGTGCAGCTTTAAGTGTTACTGTTTACGACACTATGCAACAGGGTTGCCAGGTTGGGTGGTTTCCCGCATACTTTTTTTCCAAGCGACTTGTAGGGAATAAAAAAATAGAAAGACATTAAAAAGAATCATGATAGCCCACGTTGATCACATTAAATTTTTAGCCAAAAAAATCATTCTGGGCGTTTTTTTTGGGGGCATTCTCACGGGTTTTGGGCTGGATAATCTTTCCGGCATTTGGCAACCCATGGGAGTCGTGTGCTGAATTGTGTGCTTCAATGTGAGTGGTTGAAGGGACACGTCATTCAAGATAACAGACAGGTGGTTCATCCAATCACATACAAGGATTTTTTTTTACAAGGCCCCGCCTTCTGATATGTATCCGCTATGAAGCAGACCCAGACCCTCGTGTGAAGTGCAGTGAACTACAAGGGTCTGACGAGGGTCAGGCTAAATTCGTTCTGGTACGGTTCCAATTATCAAGAAATTATCAAGCCAAGCCATCTCCGTAGTGGTAAAGGAGATGGCTTGGCTAAATGCTAGTGTCTAACTCGGGCGCATCACATACGTCACGGTAAACTCGTATCCAATCGTTTCAATCTCCAATAAGCCCCAGTGATCCAAGACAGTGCCCTATTCAAATCAATGGTTTGTGCTCAGTAGCGCATGAGACAGCCATGGGCGGCAAAAAATTGGCAGAACTTGCCCGTATTTGGGCATTGTCTGGTCCTCCCGGTTCTGCTCCAAATATGCGGGTGTGGCTCAAATGCACGTGCAATCAGGGCTGCAGATCAGAGCGGAGCTAGAGCAGAGTTAGAGCGGGAGTCAAACAATCAGAGTTTGTGGCATTCAAGTGTAGATTTATAGAAAACCGAACAATGTAACAAGGAAAAAAGTTCAGGGTGAAAAGGGACACTAAAATCTGACCTTTATGAAAGCTGTAGGTTTTCTGTCAGCTGAGGTTGAGCTGTTTTAGTTTACATTGAGTTCTGTGGGACCTTTTTCTGGGTAGCCCACGTGAATTTTGTCTGCAGTACCATGGGCGCCCCCTGTGCCCATTGGTAGGACAGCAATTAGCTAGTAATACCCAGTGGAGCGGGTCCCAGCTCAATAATGTCCAAAATAACGTGCGCCGACATGCTTGCAAAACCCATGCTACGTCCCACATGTGTGTCAATGCTGAGGGGAGTGTATTTTTTTGGACCAGTCTTGTTTTGTTGCGGTGAAATTTTGAAGGCACTCGTCACGCACACAAGCGTCACCCCTGACGCATGCACACATTTTTCTGCCCCCCTTGCCATTTTGAGGAGCCCCATAAAAGGCGAAAGTGATGGCACATTAGTTTGAACGGCAAAGTAAGGCGTGACTACGTCTGTTAATATTTAGTCTATGGTAACACCCTATCCAGATATTATTATAGATCCATGAGCTGCAAAAGTTAACAGGTGGGAGGGGTTAACAGAGCTCAATGGAGCAAATCTTAGTTCAAAATTAAATTTGTAAGACCAGGCTACTACTGTGTACTTCACTGTTGTAGTATTTGTTTCTGAGGCTGCAGGTTTCTGGGATAAACACTGTTATTGCTGTTATTTTGGTTATGTTTAAGATTTGCACAGTTCAGCACATATATCAACATAAATTCATATATATTATATAAACATGCATTAATATGGTTTAATATAGAATGTTAATATAAAAGGCCTAAAGCAGGGACACCTGATTTTCAAACCACAAACAATATGACATGTAATAAGTACCAGCTCCTAGTTCTACAACAGTACAACACATTTCTGAGCAGTCCCCTCAGCCCAAAACGTCACATAGTGACTCACGGGGATCTTTTTTTACACACAACATAACGTCTTCTGTCAATGACACACGCTGTGTCTGTATCTTCTACAAAGAGGCCAGAGAGACCAGAGAGAGACACTAGAGAGGGAGACCAGAGTGTTGAAATCGCTCTCTCTGTCATCATTGAAACACAACAGCTTAAACCACGCACACTCAAAACGATCCCAAAACGTCACATAGAGACAGCATTTAAAACACACGAACGTCAGTATCTGCGCGTTCGGGTCTCCGCGTAAACAAGAGCAGGACGCGGAAGGAAGGAAGGCAGAGGAGCCGCGTTAAATCCCCCATACACACACACACACACACACACACACACACACACACACACATGCGCGCACAATGCTCGGAAGCAACGCACAACACATTACACGCTCACAAACAATACGAACGCGGGTGTACGTCGCGTGGTGCAGATTTATAATCATGCACCGTGCGTCATTACGCAGGTAAACACCTATAAACACATATTATTCCATATCGTGTTCGCGTCACTGGCTGGACGTGCGTGAAACGGAGGCCTCGCCGTGCCTCTATCGCAGTATGATCGCATCTCTCACCAGGTCCCAGGGCGTCCATAGCCGACGCCTCTCGCTCCGTCTCTGTCCCGGCCTGGCGGCTCCGTACCGAGGCTGAGATTGGGGGCGGTATCGCGAAGCTGAGCGGGGGGCAGACACCAGAAGGAAACGGGGAAGTTTAATCACAGCGAGGACGGAGATCCACTACCGCCTGCGTTGGACTGAGGACTGAGGAGCGGACAGTGCGCATGCGCTATGGGGGCAGTCTCACCGCCACTGTGCATGCGTAATGTACTGTTATTTATGTTTAAGGTGATGTTTCTCACTTTAAAACTATAACAGATTATTGTAACCTTCAAAACACGTAAAACATGATGCGTTACATGTCATTGTCATTTAAAAGTAATGTGTTACTACAATACTGTCTCTGAATTGTAAAACATTACACTCATTTGAAGTTACTTTCCCCAAATCTATATATAACAAACTAAATGCAGCTGTGAGGTTGATAGAGCTTTTGGTTCGAACATAGGGATGTGCCACATCTTTGTCTCCAACAAACTCTCAATAATAGGAGTCTATCCATCTTTAAAATATTCTATTGTTCACGTACTGCCTGCTTCTGCTATAGACTCAGCCAGTATGGTACAACACTTTCCTTCAACCTCGGCCATATTCTAGTCATTACATTAGTTTTCAGAAAGAGACCATCTTGTAAATTCTAATAAAACACTTGTTGTGTAGTGATTTGTCTTTTGTTTACCTTTTAAAAGAGTTCAATCATCAACATCAGCTCAAAAAAATAGGATATTGTTAATATATATGGCGGGTCAATTTGAACCCAGGATAGAACAAGGGAAAGCCCGTGCCTCAAAGCCACTGCAGGGGGCTCTGCTGTCCACCTTCTTTTTTGTATCCCCAGGGTAGTTATTCTATGCTTTTATTTTGAAAGGAGAAGACAGGAAGTGAGACGACCCGGTTGTTACAATCTTCAGGTCAGTGGGGACCATGGATCTATTATAATAACTGCATAGGGTATTACCCCATGGGTATTACTAGTT